GCGTCATGCTGTTCTGCGCTCTCTTTAATTACACCCCGAAACCGGGACGCGTGACGTATTGCCGTGTGGCGAAAGGGACAAAAAAGCGACCTCTCGACTTGAAGCTAAAATCGCCGATCTGCAGCTCGGTCGTTAATCAACGCCTCGATCGGCGATACTTAATGCTTCCAGAATACATTTCGTGCGCGTAAGAATTACCGAGGAATTTTAGCCGCGCAATCTTGATTTTCATGCCTTTCTTCAGGTGATCTACAATAAATTTTTATAATATCTGTATCTCTCGTAAAACAAAATTTTGAACCTCATGCGTTTACGAATCAATAATTTAAAGGGCAATCTTAAATATCTTATCAAAAGGTTTGTTTACGACGACTCGAATATCTTGAATTTCCTCTTGGAAGGTTGTGCTTGAAATTTGTTGAATGCTGAAATTTTTGGAGGATGAAGACGTGAAGGATTTATTGGAAGAAAGTGAGGTCCAGCGACGTAGGGGCCACTTAAAGCATTGGCTCGATCGAGCGCTAAATATTTGATTCAAGTCGGACTGGAATTGGTTTAAGACGTCAGCTGGTAAGTGAGGGTATGCTCATGGGACGAACGGAAAAAAATAGGAAGGAAGGAGGAGAAAGCTCGACGAATGGACGGACAGTTAGTAGCTAGACGACAACGGGGGTATTCCCTCGAGCTGAACGGCAAAATGATGTCCAACCAAACAGCTCAGCTGTCCCGGTCACAGCATTCTTCTCTTGCTACATCAACGATCTGAACTCGCTTTAAAATCTTCTCTGTCTCGCTTACTCTCGATCCCTTCTTTCGCCGCGCTGTAGAAAGCGAATATAATCTCCAGAAGTAGAGCGATCCAGAAATAAAGTCAAGTTTCGATGCCATTAGCTTCGGACGAGAGAAGACGCAATTTAAGAGAGACACTACTTGCGTCGTTAACATTGTATAACGTGCGCCCAGACTATCACCATTCAATGTATCGCGGGGACATAGTAGATCAGCGATGGTGGTTAAGATATTGACTTTTAAATGAACTTAAATATATATAGTCATTTCTTGTCAATATTTCAACGTATTTGGACGTAATTTGGCCGCGGTTATGTTACTTTCTTCGAGTAATTTCTTGTAACAATTAATAAGTCTGCACTTATTGCCGTTTTCATGCGCGAGTCGTTAGCGGCAGCGAATGAGGGAGGCACGAAGGTCGAAATCGCAAAATTCATGCGAATCCACGTGGTGCCAAGTGGGGTGCATTAGCCAAGTTCCCCATTATCCACGCGTGAGAGACCCCTAAATTATCCGGCGCTCGCCTAGCGCCGATCTCGCCCACCCTCGAACGTTGGCGAGAAAAAGACGTATGACTATGCCTTTTCTCGAGAACACCCCCGCCCGACAGGCTCCGGGGTGAAGTTACCAACGCGTGATTTTCGTAATTGCAAAGAAACTCGCTGCGTATCAATGTATTTACAAGGAGAATGTTTAGATTGTCGTAATTTTTGTCGAATCTTGTTTGTTGGCCACGATTTTTCTTCGCAATTTCTCTTTCAATTACATAATTAACCTGATAAGACTGATACTGAAAGATGCTACAATATTTTCTGACTAAGCGCCAGTATCTCGAGGGTAGTTGATTTAATTCATTACGTCTTCGATATAACCGCCAAAAGATTGTTACCTAATTGGGGTTTAAGAATATCAGGATTGTCGAATGACATTGAAAATAGAGAGAAAATCAAAGAGAAAAGAAGCAGAAGCAGATAGAGAGCAAGAAAGAGAGATAGAGAAGAAGAGATTTGTATATAAGTATCTGTATGTATAGAATGAGCAAGATAGAGAAGAGTGAGAGAATAAGACAACGACAGAAGGCAGCGAGAAATAGAGAAGGAAGGAGGAGAGTTAGAGGGGAGGGAGAGAGAGAGAGAGAGAGAGAGAGAGAGAGAGAGAGAGAGAGAGAGAGAGAGAGAGAGAGAGAGAAGACGAGAGACAGAATCCGAAGAACCGCCAGGAAGATAGAGAGTTTGGGCTATCTCTCGGAGCACAGTTCCAAGGAGCTTCCTTTAGACTTTAGTGACGTGACGTCGCCTAATACCCTAATCCTTGCAATGGAGGCACCATCGTCCGTCTCGCGTCGTCGTGTTCTGTTTAACCATCTTCTTATGACCGCGCTACGGTCAGAAATTGTTAATTAATTGACGAGTATACATATATTTCTAAATTACTCGCATCTATTTCAAGATTAATAAATCTAAGGTTTAATAAATCTTGCTCAACATATTGAACGACTATACGAACTTATACGAACTACTTAGAAATTCAGCATTAAAAACTATGCCCAACGTACGTGATAATAACAATCAATATTATACATTAATATCCTTAAACATTCACATTACATTTGTTATTAAAATTTTTTTTTACAAGTTTTTTGTTTAACTTGTAAATAAAATTAAATTTTTGCGACAAAAAATATAATGTTATAATTTTATCTTTAATGTAACTTAATTTATAAACTAGTTTTCATAATATGACGACATAGTAGCGATTTTCATGTTTCCAAACAGAGAAATTTTGTATTATTTGATGTAACTACACACGTATAACATTCATGTCACTATAATGTGCAAAAATTAAAGCATATTTGATATCCCGGGATATATTAAAGACGCTCGTAATAACCTCCAACGGAGACTTCGACGGTATCGACGATGTTTTCTTTTAGCGAGAATTTAAGCCACATCTGCCAGGCTGTCGCCCGTACTAGGACTATGCTTTCTAATTATTCCCCACAAACCATAAGGGATGACATGTAATTGGTGGGTGGACCGGGACGCATCGATCCCCAACTCGAAGGGATTCCAGCTCTTTCTTGCGTCGCGCCCCCCCTCCCCCTTGCCCGGTCCGTTCTTTATCCAGTTCCACTATCGAGGGCCAGTTTCAAGAGAGCATTGGTCCGCAAAGAAAAGTGATAATGTCTTAAGCCGCCGGTGCGATTTAACTTCCGATTTTGGACGGGAGGGCACTCCCGCCGTCCCTCCTACCGCGGTCCATAGCAAGAGTTCGTCGCTCTAAACTCCCGGCTACGTGGTCTGAGGAGGGTTTAAGGTTTAAGGGAAGCTCTCTCATTCCTTGGGATCCTAGGGAGCTCCGCTAAGCGCTGACGTTGATCCCGCTCTTCTTCTGCCTCCGCCACCTCCAGGAGCTTGGGTTTATCTAATTCCAGTTGTAGGTTCCTCCTATCGCTGTAAACCTTATGAGCGTACCAAAGGGCGAACGTTGTGCAGTTAAAGGCCTAAAGTCTTACAAGTCATCAGAAAGATGGGTAATTTGCTAGTTCGAAATAATTTGTAATTGTGTTAAGATATTTTGCTGAGATATTTTCTTAACCATCAAATTCAGGCTGGATTTAGTTACAACAAGATAAGCAATATTATAATAATGTATAGTGTCAGTTATATAATTTATAGTTTGAGAATTTTTACTGTCAAACAAGTAACTAATTAAACTGTAAATGTTTTATTTTCGAGACGTGAGAGTCTGGTAAGAAACTTATTGCGCTAATATATTCGTAATTATGTACACTGTATTTCACAACATTGAATTCGTAATAACTTTCGAAGTCCGCTCAAGTACCGTTTTGCACTTATTGCTTATCAGAAATTTTATGAAGAGAAAAATACAAATCCGCTACAAGCGAAGTTACGTCTGTTCAAACCGGCGGAGATTTCACTTTTCCTTTGAAAATTTAGCTACGCAAAGAACTCGCGAGTTGTGAGGGGAGCAGATCCGCGAGGTCGCTGGCCGGGACCAATGTTGCTTGGATTCCTAAGGCGGCAAAGAAAACCAGGTAGCACATACATACAGTGGCGCGTCAGCCCGAGGGATGAGAGCAGAGGGGTAGTAATATATAATACATATATAACATATATATACATATATATATATATCTTTATATACGTATATATATGTACGTGTACATGTAGACGCGAATGGATATAAGCGGGAGAGGTGTACGAAGCACGTACCTCAACACACTGGGAAAGAGAGAGAATCCTAGGTGTGCACCCAGGAACCCCCTCAGTATCCCCTTCTACGATAACCGAGGCGGGGGTTGAGGTGAGCAAGGGGGATGTGCAGAAGGGCTGGGAATCGTGCTCCAGCCGAGCTCAAGGGGGTGGACAGTGCGCAGAACCCGCCCCCACCTTTCGCGACGAAGCAGAAGCCGTCGACTGCCCGCGCAAGTCTTCATCCCCTCCGCGGACGACGGAAGATCGCCACCCCCGAACGAACTTAAACATAGCACAGTAGCTCGCGAGCACCCCGTCTGAAAGGGCCCATCGCGTACACGAGAGTCGGAGCTTGTGTTATCTATATAAACGTGTATATATGTATGTATACACATGTATACATATGTATATATAGTTATATATCTATATCGGCGGTTTGTTCGAGCGCGCGTGTTCTCGTTGTGTGCGTGCGCGCGTGCGTGTCACGCAGTGCTTGTCTAAATATTTCGAGTCCGCCGCAAGAGCGAAGCAAGATAGAGTGTGCCCCGCTAGAAAAAGATAAATAGCACAAAAAAAGAGCCGAGCAATCGTTTCACCAGGACGAAAAAGAAAAATAAAGGAGGAAGGGAGAAGTATCAGAGACGCATCTCAGCTGCGCATAGAATGATTCTTCAAACTCGTGGCCACGCACTCGAAAATCTTCGGCGGATGTCAGGTGAACTCTCTTGAGAGAGACAGTCCCTTAGACTTTGAACGCGCTGTTAAGTAGAATGGCAAAGAGAGAAAGAAAAGTGATCTGTGGCAGGTGCTGAGGATCCTTCCCTTAACGAAAGAGCGGTGCGGATCCTGAGCGAGATGGATCTTTCTCGTTAGATCGCGCCGGCCTCGAAATCGAAAAAAAAACGATTTTGCACTCGTTTACCAAACGTGCACCCTTGCGTCCGCATGGCAGAGCAGATGATTTGCTGATCCTCTGGAATTTTTGTGTTCCAGGGTGGAACTGACCAGCGTGCCGGGCGGACAGAATGCGATGGCTCATCTCAAAAAGCGGAAGCTGGAAGCAGAGTCGGTCACGCAGAATCCTAAACAGACGCAGCACCCGTCGCAACAACAGTCGCAGCAGCAATTGTTGATCGGCAAGAAGGGCCTGCAGACGGGCGCGCCGCAAGAGATGGAGATGGCCGATGCCGCGACGAAGCGGAGGAGGAAAAGCGTTCGCGACGATGACGTGCGAAAGGCGATCGACGTCGTCGATCCTAACAAAAACATACCGCTGCCGCAGAAGAAGCGCGCGTTTACATCAGGTAACTCGGGTAGCCCTGCGAGGAAGTCGAGTAAACACAGCGAAGAACCCGAGGACGACGAGACTCTCATAAGGGAAACGGAAGCCGCCTTGAAGAGTCTGTCGGGCAGCTGGCCGGGACCCAGAGGATCCCTGTATCAAAGGGGCACTTCGGACGAGGATAGATACGAGTCCAACTTCGAGAATCTCTTCGAGGAGAAGAAAGAGAATCCTAAATTGTCGCCCTCATCGATATCAACGTCTTCGAGTACGAGCAACGACACCGGCTGCTCGTTGAAGGACGTAATAACTCTTCGCGGGCAGCAGGATCGATCGGGTAGGATGCAACAGCAGAATAAGCAGCATGATGCGAAGCAGCAGCTGCACCCGATGAAGATTAAGAAGGACCTGGACAGTTTGCTGAAGATAGAGAACGAATGCGCGAACATTCAGTCGCAAGTCAACAACGTTAATCAGAACGAGCCGCCGAAAATTCGACCGATCTCCGTGCGCTCGTTGTCGAGCAAAGAGAGGAACGAGAGGAACGTGGTGGTGGGCGCGCATGTTGACTCTCAGGGTAGGCAATCGGACAAATATTCCAGATACGATCCGCCGGATTTCAACGAGTTAGTCGATGATTCGTCCAACGAACTAGAAATTGATATGTCGGATCCGGCCGCTGACAAGGACGAGGGCGATCGGGACCGGTCGAACGACCGGGAACGGGATCGGACGTGCAAAAACGGTCAGTCGCCCCAAAACATTAGTAGGCAGCAGCAGCAGCAGCATCAGCAGCTTTACGCGAATTATCAAAGACAATATAACGATACCAACATGAAAGCCACGTCAACGGGGACCGCGTCGTCCTCATCGCCGCCAGCGAGCTCACCGTTCTCGGCAACGTCCGCCTTCAGGCCGCCTAATACGGACCATTCGAAAGCATCGTGCCGCGGCTCCTCGTCGGTTCCAGTGGCCTCTTCGACAATTCCACCGATCGGTCCGTATCCAGCTGCCGCTACATTCGTGGGATATCCGACGCCCGGGCCGACGATGCCGACGCCGCAGCCTGTATCCGGCATCTCGTCCACGTCCGAGGACAAGTCCACGGTATCATTGTTGCAACTGAAGTCTTCGAAGGAGGAGAGTCATCACGTGACAACCCACGACGTAGCCAACAATTCTGTGTCTCCTAGCAAGAGTCCCACCAGCGGTCCATCCTCCGTCACGAGTCCCGACTCTTCGAAACAGTACACGATCCTTCAGCCCGCGGGGGTGGGCTCCAGAGCGGCTAGTGCGATTCAGGATATCGCGCGGGAAGGAGTGGTGAGTGTCGCCGCCGTGAGCAGCTGCACCGCCGCGAACAACGGTAGTGCGGGGGGCAGCAACGTCAACGCCGCGAATGCGAACGGCAACGGGGTGGTCGGCAATAAAACTACCAACGGGAACAACGGCGCTAATGACAGCGGCAATGCTGCGAATCCTGCCGGGAATCCTAATGCAAACAGCATCGCCAGCATAACCATTACGACCGTGTCGACTACCACCACTACGTCTAGCCCGACAGTCGCTGCTGATGTGCCTTCGGCGAACGGCCAGCAGGACAATGTCATGAAAATGCCAGAGAGACCCGGCACCTTCGATAGTGGCAGGCCGGGAATGTCTATGTCTCCGTCCAGTCTCGGCAGAGGTGAGGATTTCTTGTCTGTCGCGTTATGAAACGGTATATTCCTAAATTGATATTAATGAAACTAATAATGTTCTTCGGTCGGTTCATCATGATGGAATTACTTGCAGGCATTCTTTCGAATTATAAATCCAAAAAGATAAAAGAAAGTTTTGAATTATAAAATAAAAAATAAAATAAAAAATAAAATAAAGACAAGAACAATATATAAAGAAAAAAGATATACATATACTTTATATAAACTAATACTATTACTGATGCGATTACTTTTCAAAAGTATAACATTATGCTCTAGAAAATATTAGTGTTTAGATTGATATTAATATCTAATAAATATCCGATTATTTCGTGATTGTGATTTTAATATAAACAATTAAAGTTTGTTAAATTATAGAAGATCTCGCTACGACGATATTTTTCCTTGCATTCTAATTTATATATATATTGATGTGCCAGTGAGCCCGTGAAGAAAATGTATAGATTACACAGGAGGGAAATAAATATAAATAACGAAGAGTCAAGATTAAGATGTACTGCGCTTTAAAAAGATTTCAAAAGATTAATAGCGTTTTTAAATTTTCGCGGAGTACAAATGCTCGCATAAAAAAATTGGAACTCCTTTAAATTATAGCTGGAGATAGTAATCGTAACTCATGGTAGGGTTACCGCTCGTGTGTTATACGTTACGAGAGGGGACAAAAGGCATTTTCGACTCTCTTGGTTACCCTGTTCCTCTCCCTTTCTCTCTTTCTCTCCGTCTTTCTCTCTCGCACTCTCTATCTTGCTCTCTATGAAGTTAGGGGAGTTAGGGCAGCACAGAAAATCAATAATTACGAAGCGAGGGGTGATGACTCAAATGCTGAAATCAAGGTCTCTTCGAGCAAAATTATTCTCTGTGTCCTGTGATACAGCCATTCCACACTTGTTCTCATGGTTACCCCTCCATCCGTTTCTTTATTATCCGAAAACGTTTTGGATCTGAAGAAATATATTTTAAATTAGCAGTACTAGAAAATATTTCACAAAATAATAGTGCTTCAATCGCCTTAGATGCCTTCAATAGTCGGTAAATGTTCGATGAAATTGATTTGATCCGGTGATTAAACGCGACAAGTGTAACAGTACAGGAGAGAAGGGCATGCGTGCATGAGCCGCGCGATATCTTTCTTCCGAGGAGACTCAAAGAGTCAAACCTCCGCCGCGTCACACTGTGTAGATTCGCCATGGTGTGACAGGTGGAGGCTCGAGTGCATTCCAGGGTCTTAGGGCAGCGAAGACACGACGTGTCTAGTCGGGGAAATTTGGGGTTGATACCACGTCATACGTATAAGCCGCAGCTGTCAGCGGCTGGAAACGTGACTAGCATCCCAGCCAGCTCCAAGCCACCTTATTACCACCCTGCGCCTGGCTGCCTGTCCTCATTATCCCCTTAACGTTTTCTCCGGCCGGTGGCTGCGGAGGATGATCGCTTTCAAGAATTCAATCTCTCGCGTTTGATTTCGTGTTTCTGTCGCGCGCGAGAAATTAATCGGACAAACAGCCGCGATATAATTTTTACGAAATAGAAAATGCAAGTAATCTTTAGAGTCTCCGACCGTGTTTACACAGGCATATGGGTAACTAAAATAGTTTGCCTGTTGTGAAATCCCAAGATAAAACTGCGCGACATGATAAATGGGCTCGATTAAGCGCGCACTTATCAGCGTGACGGCGATACAATCGTACCGGAGTCGGTCAAGTTGGGAGGCTTTATAATCGAAAATCTATCTCCCTTTCTCTCTTTTTCGCTCTACGTTCCCCTCTTTCTCTCTCTTTCTCTCTCAGCTGCCGAGAGTTGCTCTTGATCTCTTCGATTTAGCGTGACGATCGCGTGCGCAGTGTTCTTTTTTTTTTTATTCACCGCACGCTCACATCCAGGGCGCGCGTATAAGGGCGTGTTGACACGCCATAAAACCGCTATCGGGAAATCCGTCGGCCGCAAAAACCACCCTTTCCGCGTCGAGAAAGATCGGTCGCGCGCGCGCGCGACGGGGTCGAGTCGGCTAATAAAAAAATAAACTGCCCTGTAACTCAATTTTACGCTACCTTTGCGACCGCACGCATAAAAAGGACCTTTACTCGCGCGCGAGGGTACTCTACCCTCCCTTTAAGGGACGCCGCGCGCGCCTCCGTGTGTAAATACCTACTTTGTGATTGTTCCTCGCGCTCTCTGCTCTCTTTTTTTAGAATCCTCCCGATCTTTTCCTTATCCCACCGTGTGTCCGGCGTTACGATTCAGCGCGGGGAAGCGCCGGAGGGCTGTTACACGCATCAGGTATCCCGTACGGATCGCGCAGTTTTATATCGGCTACACCGGAAAGATTTCTATATAAAAACCACTTGCAATATATCTCGTGCGACTAGATTTACTATAGTATACTGAACTGTCGTCGCTACAGGCTCGTACCCGCGCGCGCTGCGATATAGGTATTTACTTTCGCCGTTTAATTGACGTTCATTTCAAAACGCGTTGCGCTATTCTGTCAAGAACTCAATGTCATGCCAAGATAACGTTAGGAGCAAGAGACAGCAGCATCGCATAGTCGCGTGCACCAATGGTATCCCGCATTCGCAAGGACACCTCACGACACGCGACTCGCCGATTCTTTTTGCTCTTTTGAGAACATGCAGCGGTTGTACCATGCAATTAACTACGTAAATGATGAGATATATGTTTAAATATTAGAAATTAATGCAGATGTATACAGAGCATTGAATACTGTTAAAGCTGTTCATGCATTGTGCCAATAAAATATACTTTAATCATGTTAATTATATCCTTTTGCATCTCTTTTTGTCTGGCAAAAGTAATAATTAATCGTCGACTAAAGTACTGAAAATTGAAGTAAATTTTAAGTAAATAACGCAGAACTAAATCCAATTTATAATTTGAAGTACGAAATGCAGGCATTATTATCAACACTGCACTTCCCTTCTGGGAACTCGCGTGAATATTCATCCCCGTTACACGTGAATTGCGACTGATTAACGACTTTTGACGGCGAATTAATAATTAGCGCGACCCGGCGCGAGTGCACAATTCTCCCCGATTATCTTGACGACGATTTTTCGCGGGCGCAGCGTACGAAAGTCTCGGCGCGTGTCGCGCGAAGCTGGTCGAATAAAACAATCCCGGTGTTTATATACACGTCTCACCCCTTCCGCGGGACCCTCACGTGAAATGGCTACAAAATAACACAATTACAACGCGACCACGGGGCTCACCCTCGGTGACCGGCGCTCGTCCTCGTTCTCACCCCTTGTGATCCCGCTTTTTTTTCTCTCTTTTTCTCTTCCCTCCGATTCTCGCGTTGCTCCATTACAGCGCCGTTGCAGGGAGGAAGAAACTAAAAGAGAGGGATCTGCGATAGAGGAAAGAGGAGAATAAGATCTAAGGGGAGACAAAAAGAGAGATAGTGATGGCGAGAAAGAGCGAGAGAAGGTATACGAGAAAGGTAGGAATGAAGGCAGGTCGGACCGACTCGTTACAAGTCTATTCAGACATCCGGAAAGAACAGCGCGTGCCGGTATTCATTTTGTTGACCGGAACCATTATCTGCCCCTTCGCTCGTTTTTTCTCTCTCGTTCTCTCTCTCTCTCTCTCTCTCTCTCTCTTTCTCACTTTTTCCTTTCAACCCCGGGTTTAGCCACCGACGTGGCCGCTTTAAAACCTTACGGCTAATTTATTAATCCTACCAGGGCAACCGCTCGCCCTCGGTGTGTTATCCGGGGTAAACCTTTTTTTACCCGGCACTAATTAAAAACCAGGAAGCCTCAGCGATCCTTCCGCGAAATAAAAATAGCAGCGATTTCCTCCATCGCGAATTTAGATTCGTGACGTGTTAGTTTGATAGCGCTACGCTTTTGTATATTTCACTACACTGGATCTATTTTTATTCGAGAGAGAAAGAGACCATCGAGCATTCATTAATTTTAATCTCCGGCGAACTCTGATTTCGAAACAAAATTAATCCGCGGAGTTTCTTCCCGAGGAATTACGCGGGGGCTTCGGAACAATCCCGACGGCGCAGCGTGTGCCGTCGTTCAACTTCGAAACTCGGGGAACGCGTCGTGGTCCGCAAATAAAGCATGCCGCTAATGACGTCACGTATCGTAATCCAATTTATGGGGAGGTGGGCGGACGGGTGCCGGTCCGCCTTAAGAAAAAGGCGAACACCTAAGTAGGGATCGACTTTTCTTTCTCCATCCATCCCGCCCCGTCGGGGGCTTCTCGCTCTCCCTGAAACGCGAAATGACGACCTGATGAAGTTTCTCGGCGTCACGGCACTCGATTGGCCGGCCCCGGCGTAGTTGGCTAAGGGATCAGGCCCGAGCGGAGGATTAGTACACGACAAAGTTTATAAAAGTGCGCTCACTTCAGGCGAACCCCCCCTCCCCCTCCGTCAACTAACCTAAAGCTGGCCTCCCCTTAAGAGGCCGCCCTTTCCCGAAACCGCCTAACACGCGCGATAAACTTATTTACGTTTCGTCGCGGCCAATATACCTGTGATAACGTCTAGTATACAAATGATCTGGCATAAAACGAGATTTCACTCGTTTCGACTTTAAAAATTATTGATAAAAAAAATTTGAGTTGAGATCTGAAAATCTATATGTCGACAATCGTAAATTGATATATTCATTCCTTTTTACTGCATGTTTAATTGTGTAATTATTATTATTATATTATATGACTTATTACATTATAATCTTTATCAATAAAATTGATATAGAATTATAATATTTTAATATAGAATTATCAATAAAAAAGTTTAAGTTGAGATCTAAAAATCTATATTGACAATCATAAATTGTTACATTCACATTCCTTCTTGCTGCATATTCAATTGTGTAATTATTATTACATTATACGTATAATTATAGGCTTTTTTTATTGGTCTGACGTAATATAGTTATAAAAAAATTAAAGATATAATACTTGTAGAGCGGCTTATAAAAGCTATACAAAAATAATGCGGCCTAATGGTTACGAGCAAATCGTTATTAAACGGACGTCTCTTATGAAAGCTCGAAGCTATAGCATGTGAATGAAATGTAGTACCTGATATAGCTTTCAGCCGATCGCTCGTCTAAGGATTGGGTAGGAACCTTTAGTTACATTTATCGTTCGCGATTGAAATAAAGAGAACCTTGCCGAAGGGTCTCATATTAACCGATTGGTACTTCTCGGCTACCTGCAGTGCACTAGAAACCCGTAATTGTCTGGTCACGCGAGGTCGCCCCGGGAATACGAACGCGATCATACGTGACGTGCGCTATACCCACCATTAAGTTGGAACTAGCGCACGACAGATGGTACAATTGGTCGTTTGGGCATGCCCGTCTGGCACCGCTCATACACTTTTTCGTGTCGCAAGAACGGCGGAGGACTTGAAAAAAGTTTCGAAAAAATTTAGAAATTACACCGACGCGAATTATCAGCTAATGCAAATCTCTCTAATGGCAAGGATTATATATGTCTTTAAATTAGTCCTGACGAGAAGCAGCGTGTCGTGTGCATGTCTGCGACAACTCCCTCAGAAATGGCGATATTCGAAATTAGCGAGCGAAAAATCTACAGACTATTATTACGGAGAGTGAAGCTTTCCTCACACTCGGTCGAATAATACTGGCGAATATAACGAATGATACGGAAAATAATGCATATAGATAGAAGGAACGAAATATCACGACGGCGAAACTTTTCCCCGATCGGACTGCAAGTTTCGTTCTGTCGTGCGGGGATGGAGGTATCTATCTGTTCTTTGTTTCGCGGACAGTTGTAGGCCGGCCACATACCCCGTGCTAATCCCGAAGGCTTAGTCGCGGGACAGAGAAATCCCAGAGGCTATTCACAAATGCGTAACTCGTGCGACGAGATCCAGGCTGACCACACGCGAGGCCATTTCCACCCTTCTGCTGTGCCGTCCTTTCAACTTTCACTTGGGGCCTCTCGCCACAGAATTGGGGGAAACCTATCCTGAAAAATGCTACTAAATAGCATGCATGTCCGACGAATTTGTACAAAAATTTTTTGGAACCTCTTTTCGAAATATATCTCTGAAGATTGTTATAGACAGAGAGATTAAAAGCACAATACATTTATTATAAATTCGGTGTTACGAAATGCGAAAAATCTTACACAAGCGATATTTGTATTTTAAATATATAATATATTTAAAACATGTATTTATTTTTCATTAAACATTTATTTATTTTACAATCAATATTCGTAAAAATTAAAACGTAATTGGATTCGTATAAAAATAGGAAAATTTTTTAAATTTATAAGCTCGTTTTTTAAAACATTTTTTTCATATTACGCATATTAAATTTCGACAAGCCTATTTCTTTTGATATTTATTTTAAGAATTATATTGCTCAGAATTGATTTATTGTCAGTATTATTTCTGCGTGTTGCCTTTACAAAAGAATTATCTAATTCACTTTAATGCTAATAATTTTGAACAAGAGGCGAAATTCTTACAAATAAGATTTTAATATGAAACAGACACATGTCTCTCACCATACTTTGCTCGCGGAGTCTTTCGCCTTGGCTGTTCAACGTTCTCTGTGAAGGATAACGTGATATATTGGCAAACGGGGAGTAAGCTATATTCTGTTCGATGTGCAGAATGAAACTACGCGACGATGTCGAACACGTCGGCTGTCATCCATTCAATAGTTAATTTCCATTCAACTGCTCACGCCGCTGGCAGTACCGTGCAAGCATACCGAAACATCATATTATTTTTCATACACTTTCCAATGTTCGCGCATTTTTTTATCACATACCTTCAAGATTACAACAGTTAATCCAGTATTTGTTATCTGTGCCGTTAATTATAAATTATTTTAATTTACAAAACAATATTGTACGTTTACACGATATAATATTCTTGCTATTCAGAAAAGACAGAAAAGACGTTTCATATAAATGCAGTAAATGGCGTAAAGGTCGTCAACGAAAACGAAAGACTCGATAAAGTCTCCGCGTTACGGTAATGCCTCTGTTTAAAATATGGGACTTGTACACGCATTCAGGCGAACGGGGGAAAGTGGATTGCGTGGCGTCAATTGGCCGCAAGTGCAAGATTATGAAACCAAATGCAATAACAACGCATTAATGCGTATTAAGCCGACGCCGTATTCCGGTCGACACGTTCCTGCCGCGGAACAACACTCGTCGACAGTGTAAATATCCAATTTATTCCAGAATTACAGGCCGCTTGTGTTGGGATCATCAATTTCGATGCAGAAATAACGCGTTGCAGAGACAGCGTAATGCCCGCGCGCTCAATGTCATTGTAGTGCATAGTTAATATCGGAATGCCATGAGCTGAGATACGTTTCCCCTATTAAGTTCTCAGCTTTTTAACATTTGACTTAGATATTTATCGCAAGAACTGCGATTTGCGCGAATTAGCGATCGCTTAATTGCTATATAATAATATTACTATAATAACGACTTAGCTCAAAAATTGTCATTTTTAATTACGGAAACAGAAAGAAAAAAAGAACATACTTTTAAAAAACATATACTTTCATTCCTCTACAATTAATTATTACACTAAAATTGCATTTTAAAATTAATATTACAAAAATTTAATTATAACTAAAATTAAAAAATTAAAAACATTAAAATTCATTTTCTTTGTTTTTTGAATTGTTTCAATGTTGCAGTATAGATGAGCGATATATTGTGCCCAAATACAATTTTATTCTTTTTTTGCGTGGGATGTGTTTAGAAATCTTGACCGTATAAACTGTAATAAAACGATAAATAAATTGTGCGACTTTACTTTCCTTTAAGGAAACTATATCTGACTATGAGTAGTGCACATTGCATACTCGTGCGTTAAAAATTTAATTAGTTCAAGCCTAGATCGAAGCGAGCCTTTAAAGCTATCCGTCTAAGCTTAACCGCTAAGCCCGACTAAAAACTAGTGTACGTCGTATATCTCATGAATATCTGAAATGGCACTTAATAGACTAACATCGGGCCTCTGCGTGGCGGTTTGATTTGTTACAGAGGGCAACAAGTGCCCGACCCCAGGCTGCACGGGGCAGGGTCACGTGACCGGACTCTACTCTCACCACCGCAGGTAAGCAATTATCGGTAATTAACCTGCGCTTCGCACTCAGCCACGGCCGATTACACACCTACGCGGTTTTACGTGGAGAATCGAGCGGGGCGTTATACAGAAACAGACATCAATAAGCCAATTCGCAATCTGCATAGCGAATCTCTGTGCTACGCACTGTGAAACAATACAATACATATGCGCACATCGACCGCTAAAAAGAAAAGAAAAAAAAAATAAAGAATGAAAGAAATTTTTCTCGACTTTAATATGTACTGCGCAGTATCTCTTGAGAGAAAAGCCTGAAACCTTAAATCCCATTCATTTTGAACATTATTTAACGATTTCTGTTCTTACAGTCTTTCTGGATGTCCACAGAAGGATAAATTAACTCCAGAGAGTAAGTACTCTATTAAACTAATTACTCCTTATTGTAGCTATATAGTGCATCTTCTTTTTGCGAGAGTGTCTTTTTCTCTTAAAGAAGCGAGGAAGTAAAGGGTGAACCATTGTGGATTATTTAAAAGAAATTTCACGATTAAATCAACTTTATCGATGTAAATAAATAACGTAATTTCAATAAAATTCGAGACTTTTCAAATATAATCATATCCTAATAAACACCTACATCTTTCAAATATCGTGTTTTTTTAATGATGTTTGCTTTTGGGCTTGAAATTGAAATGTTCTGTCTCTAATTTGATTCGCTTTCCCTCCGAAAACCATTTTTGATCAGCCTCGGTCATCCACAAAAGGGCCATTGTTCTCCGGTGGCTTCCTCGCCTCATTAAACGCAACAAAAAATGTATCTTCGATACACGAAGTCAAATTAGAAAGGAGAAAATGGATATTTTTCAGCGAGATGAGCGCGGTGCACGCGTCGCGTATATGCGTGTGTGCGTGTATTATCTGTCTGTATTGTATTCTTTGCGCTTTTCGTTTGCGGGGTAGAGAGCTTTATTTATTGCGTTACTTTTCTGTTATTTTTTTGTTTTGTTTTGTTTTGACCGTTCTGTTCGTAGTTCATTATATAGTAGAGAAATTATCACCACACTCTCGGAACTTGGTTGATACTGGTCGTGCCTATGAACCTCTGGAGAACTCGAGACACGGGCGGTGGGCGCGACGGGCCCGGCGTATGCGCACACGTCGGACACTTTGACACACACGGAGGACACGCTTGTGCGATTGAGTATAATTTACGCAAAGAATCGTAATAGAACGATCCAGCCTCCCATCGATGCGACGGATTTCCGCAACGACGGATTCCGCCTCCTCTCTCCCCTTAACGAAAAAAAAATCGTGAATCGTCGCGCACGGCGTAGCCGCGTGCAGCGCAACTTGTGCGTGCAATTGCATAATTTTTATTTCTTTTTATGACAAGCTCCTCGACTTCTTCGCCGAGAAGAACGCAGGATCCTCTAAGGTACCTCGAAGCTCGAGCGTTTACGTTCGCTCGCTCGCTCGCATCCACGGGCAAATCGTCGTTCTCATCGACATAGCGGCACACTACCTCACACAGATTGCAAGTTGTTGTGTTATAATTTTCTATCGATTAATTGATTGTCTTTACTTGTGTTTCTCTCTACCCGCTCGGTATACTTGATTGTACTGTTATACACATTAATTTGCGTTCCACACACGTGGTGTGACGCCGTGTATCGTCTTTCGTCCATTTTTCCGACCGTTTTTACCATTTTTTCGTTCCCTCCCTTTTACAATCGTGTAGATTTCTCCTTCTATCTCTCTTATTCGGATTTATTTGGCAAAAAAAACGACATACCCGTCGCGTTCATCAGGACTGATTTTCCGTCTCTCTCTCCCTTTCTCGTTCCTTCTCGATGTCCGACGCGGATAATTATACTCAATGCATAAAGACATGCTCGCCTTAACGACACCTCACCACCTCACACCTGCTGCCGCGTGCGTGTGCGCCGCGTCTCTATATCTTTCTCTCTGTCTCTCTCTAATTGTGTGTACGTAACGCGCCAAGAACGTGTGTCTGTAACCACGCCACGTGTCTCTGGGTTCTCGCAGTTCTGGCGATGCATGAGACCATATTGAAATGCCCGACGCCTGGTTGCAACGGCCGCGGTCATGTCAGCTCCAATCGGAACACACATAGGAGCCTGTCCGGATGTCCCATCGCCGCGGCCAATAAGCAGGCCGCACGCGAGGCACGACAAAAGGCTCAAGGTAAGGTGGTACATGTGCGGAGCTCCTCGTCGTGCGTGCCCGCAATAACGCCGCACACGAAAATCCTGTCGCTGTCGCCACGCGACGAGATTAACTCTCAAATGCTGGGAACAAGATAAGAGGCTTGTAATCTTGTGCGTAAAACATGTATCTCGCGTTTCCTCTCGCAATCCGTCGCGCTCCCGTGCGTGTCTTGATTGTTCTCACTGCGGTAAAAATTGCGAGGATAAACCGTTTTTCACACGGATTTATACGACTCGTTTATTTGCAAAAATGTAGAGAATTACTATGTATTGCATATGCGCAGTTGATTACTAAAGTTTCGTTTTAAATTTTGAAATAATTTTATATTTGCTTCTCCTCTCTTAAATTACAATAGATTGTATTTCATTTTTATATAGATTTTAATTTGATTTGAAAGTTTGTGATACAATGATTCTATTAAAGATATAGCGATTTTAAATGATTTCTCACTTTAGAGTAAATTCTATACAATCCTTATATAAATTCAATTATCAAAATATTTTACAAATATTAGATGTATATATAAATAAAAAATTGATAATCTTTAGATTATATTCAAAGATTATATAATATATTATATATGCTATGTATATCACAGAGTAAAAATGCATTTAGTTTTTTAAACTGGGCCAGTGTAAATATCTTACAGCAGCTGCATGCTATTTAAAATAGTACTAGCGAGCGTAACAATGTTTTTTAGTAAGAAAGTAATAAAAAAAATTAGAAATATCTTATGGTATTTATATATATGAATTATGGTATTTTTATACATAAATTTGTCATGGTATTTTTAATTTCACAAAGTTCTCTATCTCATGCAATTTATTACATCTTTATATAAAATTCACTAAATACGCAATCTCTCGTGTTAGTGCCCGGAATACCACCAGAGTACATCAGCACGAGTTTGTTACCTCCATCAATGGACACGAAGAGTTATTCGCAGTACGGCTCCGCAACGCAAGACACGAAACCTGTACTGAGCAGCCTGACCTACGACTATTATTCGACGAAAAACGCCGGAATCAACGTGAAGCCTCCGAAAACGCCGGAGGACAACAGCACGTCGCGTCCCGCGAAAGTGCCCAAGACGGAGAACATGACTCTTAGCAGCAGTTGCTGCAACACATTATCCATGAGGAATCAAAACACGGGCGAGTTGCTGGTCCCGAAGACGGAGGACGCCGCGTCCTGCCGAGTGAATTCGCCCCCGCCGCCGCCGCCTCCGGCGGTACGACAAACGTACGATTCCTATATGAGCCAAGATTCAAATTCCTCATCCATGTCGTCCATGGACGCGATGGGCTCGAGGCCGTCCATAGGCGCGACGATCCATCATCCCGGCCAGCATCCGACGCATCACGTGCTACCGATGCAGCCGGTCGCCTATCCGATGCCGATGGTGGAGGACACCAGGATGAGCCATCAAATGTCCCAGAGGTCTCCTTACGAGCCCACCGCCATGATGGCCGCGGCAGCAGCCGCGGCGGCCGCTGCGACCACCACGGAAGAGCTCTACCATCACAGATCAGCCGAACATGCGAGAGCGTACATGCATCCTGGTGCTAGCAATATTGCGCGACCGGTGGTGACGTATTCCAATGACATAGCCGGCAGAGGCTACGAGAACGCGGTGGTCAGCGCGGCCAATCATCGACCCTACGATCCCGGTACCACCGCGACGTACGAGAGATACGACACGCAGTCTTGCGCACCTATCCCGTCTCAGCAGCAGCAGCAGCAACAGCAGCAGCAGCAGCAGCAGCAGCAGCAACAACAACAGCAGCAGCAGCAACAGCAACAGCAACTTCATTCGAGAGCAAATATGTACTATCTGGGACAAACCGGTATGACGCCGGAGGAGCAGGAGCGAGTTTACCATCAAGAAGCTGCGGCAGCCGCGCAACAGCATCAGATGGCGATGGCCGCCGCCACGGCAGCCGGGATGATAAAGACCGAAGATGGTAATTTGCACGAGATCGTCTCTACGAGCGTCCAAGACTCGTTTGTAACTGAACGTCCCATCTCCATGAATGTTGCAGTGAAATGCGTTACGGTCGCGCAAATGCAGCAGATGCAGAAACCCGGTGGACCGCCTACCTCACCCGGCGGATCGGTGATGGATTTGTCTACCTCCAGTGTTACGTCCACCAGTCCGCAGGTTAGTTTATACTTTATAGAAATAATACAATATGTACGAAATCGTGACATCATGTTCATTATCATGACGTGATTTACAGGCACCACCCTACGGTTCGAACAGTCTCAGTCCACAGTATGGAGGAGGACAGACGGTGGGAAGTAGTCCTCAGGCTGCAGCGAGTCCCCATTTGACGGCTAGTCCTCAAGTTCCTAGTCCCCAGGGTCAGACTCTCGATCTTAGCGTCAACAGACTCCATAGGTACCTATTAACTTTCATATTTATAACAAATAGTGAGAATAAGACTTTGAAATCTCAGTTTTGGGAAAATCGTTTTCTAGCTCGCTGGCATTAAAAAATTGAAAGATTATTTTAGTGGAGAATTTATTCTATCTGCTCTAAATTCTCCACTATACTAGACAGAAAATAACAGACACTTGCAAGAGAAGACCATTATAGTACTTAGACAAATAGTCAATAGACAAAAAAAAGATACATATCTGTCTCTACTGCAGCGGTGCACCCAGTCCGCAGTATTCCACCGGCCATGGGGAAGCCGTCGCGGTCCCGGTGGGTCCGGGTTTCCCAGCCCCACGGCCGATCGAGGAGCAGACGGAGCCCGTTGATTTCTCAACGGCGAACGAGCCAGTCAATTTCAGCGGGGGTCCGGGAATCAGGCCTGTACCCGGGTTTCCGCCGCCTGGAGTGCACGTCACGGCGTATAGTCGCGAGAGCACACCCGACAGCGGGGGTTCCCACTACATGGACGCCTACCGAGACCCCACCGGTGAGTTATCATCGTTTATCGCGTAACTCCGCGGACAATCTATGATCCGCATTCCGAAGGTACTTTACGATTCTTTCTCTCTTTATGATCACATTCAATAATATGGTCACGATTTTTACTTTCTTTGTTCATACAATGGTTTTACAAAGTTATGATTTATTGTAAGATTATAAAATTTATTAGCTTGTAAAACTTAACTGTAAAAAATATCTTCTATAAATAATTGACTGAAATAGTTAAACTTATTACGCCGTTTTTTTCCAAACTAATACTATTCGACATAGAAGCTTCTCTTTACATAATATCTATCTCGATACCAAGAAGTATTATGCACTTAAAACTTGCAACAATTATGTTTTCTCTAATAATTAATTAAATGATTCCGTTTACTCATGCAACATCGTTGAATCGTAATTCGCTGTGAAAATTTGGCGACGGAGAATCGTTTGCACGATAATGTCGGATGAAGATGAGATAGTGCAAAAAAACAAACAAACATACGTGGAGACGGGCGCGACAGGGTGTCCTTAACACTATAAATTTTAGCTGGCATATATATGCGCGACAGGAGGAGATACACGCGAAGCGTTAATGTGTCCTTACACGGGCGTCGTGTAACGTCAGGTGATAGCGGGGGGGCGGGCGACGCGGAGGAGGCGCGTGGACGAGGGATTCGGAAGAGAACAAAGAGCCCGACGCCCCCGGGGGTCGGCAAGGGTGGCGAGGGACGTAGATAGGGATGGGGGACGATACGCGGTTACAACCGTCGAATAAAAATTCACCAGAACAGTACATGACTGCCATAATAGGCACCTATGGCCGAACTCTCATTTTCCTCGGTCTCTCTGTACCTTGGCATTCCAAACCCGCGGCCGATTCTCCCCCTTCTCATCCCGTCCTTTTTCTTCTTTCTCTTTCTCTCTCTTTCTCTCTCAGTCTCTCTCTCTGATCGTTCCCCTCGTTTTCTCCGTTTCCATCTCTCTCTTTCTCTTTCCCTCCGTCCTTCGGCCTGAATGTGCACCGTGCGCACCCTTCCCGTCGAACCACCCCCCTGTGACGGTACACGGCCATTGTTAATTATCAATATTTCGCGTACACGTAGCGCCGGCAAAAGTCCGGCGCGGCCGATATTGTGCGGACTCTGACGCTGGGGAGTAGTTATTGAAATTGAAACATTCGAGCACACACAGCGCGCCGTGTTCCCCGGCCTCGACGCACACAGGGCACGGCCGTGTTCACGCGACGTCGCGCGCGCGCGCACAGTCGGCCTTCCGTCCGTCGGCTATTTGCATTGCGTGCTCTCTCGACAAAATGAATTCTTGCCAGTAAATAAACGTGTAGATTTTACAACAGTTAATCAAGCAGCGGGCTGCTCCTGTAGTGCGCCTGTGTTCGCGCTATTTCCGCGTCTCCCGTTCGAGCGCAATTACATATGGCACACGCATACGCACGTATTTAGACGTAATGTCCTAGAAATCGTGTACGCTTTCTCTGTATCATGAAGGTCGAATTAAAGATCATACTAATTCGCTTGGTATCAACGTCTTAGTACGTCAATTGTGAATTATTTGTATCTATAGAGAATTAATGGATTTTCTAACAAAGTAAACGTTGAGAACAGAAGTGAATAGAAGGAGGTAACAAAATCTTTTCCCTGAATGCATTTCAAGTTGTCAATAATTCATTATAAATTTATCTTAATATTTAATTATCAAAGTATTCAATATCGCAATTGAAATGTGTGTTATTAAGATCTTTTTATTGAATATAATATTTCATTGAATAATATTGCATTTTGCAAGTAAGACGCTTCCCCTTTCGCGTTATATTTCTACCGGCATATTTTTACTTTTAGGAAACTATCGATACGATTGTTACTTTCTTGATTCATACAATCTCTCGTATGTCAGGTTACGGACCCATGAGTCCTCATCCAGGATACGGGATGACCGGCGTTCAACCCGAATATCCCGGAAACACGTACACCCCTTACCCAACTGCAGGTTACAACTGCGGTGGAACTTACCCGGGTGGCCCGGTGACTTCCGGTTATCAGATTCCAGCGGGTTACACTCCGGCACCGTGCTACAGCATGCCACCCCCGCAGCACACGGTTGGTCCCCTCGATAAACCATCCGGCAAGGACGACAGGTAGGATATCTCTTTTATCCCTTTTGACTGGAATATCGCGAGCAATCCGGTTCACAGTAAACTTTTATTTTTGTACTGTAAATGTATGAATCTATTCTCGTCGGTGAAATAGAATCGATTTATTTTAAATATTTGAGAGAATAAAACGTTTTATTCAAAAATACTTCAATACTACTTGATACGTTTCGAAGAATACAGTATTAATCTGTCGTAAAACCGGCTGATATTCTCACCGCGTATTTGGCACATTTGTATTTTTTTAAATTACAAATTTAATTCTTTCACTGTGTTCAACATATATTATTTTAATGGAACTTAAGACCCAGATAGTCATTTGTGACGCTGGATACGCGATGAGAAACCAAATCGTTATTTAGCGTGAGGTAGCATTATTATAGAATACGTCCACACGTCGTGCAGGCGAGCATCGCGAGTGTTTTTCGCCTTGGTACTTACTTGCCTTGCGGAAAGAATCGCACGAATCCTTCACGCGATAGATTCGTGGCCGAAGCTCGAAAAGACGTGGAGACGGTGGCGGTGGCGGCGGCAGCGGCGGCTAACATCCGCGGAGGGCGAGAGGAAAAGGGGGCAAAACTCGCGCATACCCACCTCCATTTTGTTAATTAAAGTAATTACTCTTCGTACCGAAAGTGCCAACCTTATTCTAATTGACGTGAAGCTCGGCGGTATGGAGAAGGCGCGGTTGGGCGTATAAGAAGAGAATGAGGATGAGGCTCGAGTGGAAGGCGCGCGTGCGGGGGGCGAAAGGGGTTGTGAGAGAGGGTGCGGGAGGCAAGGCAGGATAAGGTTAAAATGGGTAGGTGGGGTATAATCAGTTGCCACCGCACTGGATTATGGGCCGAGACTCGGCGTCGTCCCATCCCCTCCACCCCTCTACCGTGGGTTAGAAACCCGGAGCACACCTTCTCGGTTACCTCGAGGCGAAGCTGCCTTTCGTCCCCTTTTGTAATTTTACCACGGTCCAAAATTCGATGCATCGCGTTCCTCACGAGTGTCTCCACGATGGACGAAAGTGCGAAAACTACGAATCTATATTCTATCGGAAGTTTCAAATGACAGTATTGACAATACATAATACTTACATTTGTACGAAAATAAATTCGTGAATATATTATTGTGTATTAAAGATAAATATTATATTGTCAATGCAAATATTATATTGTCAATTGCTCTGCAAAAAGTTTTTAAATAACAAAGTTTGAAATAATATAAATATTAAAGAGAAAGAAATAATGAATTGTTAATTTGTAATTGTTAGCAAAATATATATATATATATATTTAAATTTTCTTCTTAAAAATTTTAAAGGTTTAATAATCTTATTTTTAAAATTATAGTCTTAATCTATTCTATTACATTGAATTCTTTGCAATGTTTGTTAAATGTGTAATTAATGATAATAATGAGCATATTTAGTAAATCCTTTTTATTACACAAACTTTGAAATAAAGATTATGTTCAGTGATTTCCTCACGATATTAATCTTATCATGTTTCTCCTCCTTAGTTGCATCTTTATTGAATCGCTATAACGTAGAACACATACGACCAGCTGAAACCTCAGTAAAACCAATCTATATCCGAACTTCAACTTTATTAATAGCAGCAGGCAATATAACTACCTTCGCGTCCTAACTAATATTATTAGTCCTCTCTTGGAAACGTTTTTATTGGTACGAGTATATCTCAATTTGGATCAACCATCTAAATCTATGAAAATGTCAAATACATAAGATCTCGCAATCGAAAACATTTTTTTAAACTCTTATTTATTTGAAAAATTCTCAAAAAAAATCTGTCCACTAAAAATTAAGAATGATTAAATCTTTCGAAAGATCCATTTGATTATTTTTATATTCGCATATTAATGATCTGTGCTATAACATTTGGAATATATAAAAATGTGTAAAAGCGGTATTACAAATATTGTATATGAGTTGCCACATTAAGAAAAACGTTAATATATAAAAAAAAGTTCTTAACGAAAATTGCGACACAGCTCACATAACTCGATGCTACCAACGTCCAAGACGGAGCAGCAGACCAGTGGAAACTGTAAAAACGCGAAGGTAGATAGATAGTCCGACGGCGTACCAGACTTGAATTGCACTCAAGTCGGCATCCGTCGGTTCTCGGTTGCCCGGCAATATCGCGGCCACTCAAGGGCCATCGAGGTTTCCGAGGCTTTCTCATTGCCGACGACGGCTTGCCTACGTAAGCTACGATGAGGTCGGGAGCAAGAGTGAGACGCGCTTCACCCTCCGATTCGCTGGCCGGCGCATATGTTCCTTCGGTCTTCGCTTCTCCGCTTCCTCCTTCGTCTCCTCCCGGCCCTTTCTCCCGGCTTTTCGACGTTTTTTCATATCACGCTATCACGTCGCACATTGCTCTTCCACTCGCGCTTCAGAGAAAAGTTACGAAACGCAATATAACTTTGCGCGCGGCCCTGTAACTATAAACTATATATATATATATATACACTCGCATTCGCGTCCGGGAAAGGCGACTTACGATTGTCGCTTATGTTGGGTGTAGAGTGTATTAAATTACGCTAGACGTAATCCACTCGAGTGCTTTTTGCAAACAAAAGCCATACAATTCTAGTCTAGCTGCACTCTAAATTGGCAGCATCGGGAAAAAAAGAAGGAACGAATTTAGGCGGAAGTACCGTTTTGTGGACCCCCTACACTCGAATAGCGACAATTAGAGAGCTATTGATAATTCCCATAATCAATTTAGCTTAGGGACTCGATTTGACGGTTAATATTATTCGGTGCAGTATGAGTGTGAGGAGGTACTCGTTGAATTTCGCACCTCGGCCCACCCCTCGTGGTCGCGATGGCAAGGAGCTGATACAGTGCCCCACGTCGTCCTGTGATGGCATGGGTCATGTCTCAGGGAACTACGCTACCCACAGAAGGCAAGGCAGCATCGACATTTACACCAAGCCTTTGACGTGAACGCTCGATTATGTATATATCGATATGGCGATGCAGCACGCACGCAAGCACGCTACATACATACATACATACATACATTTAAATTTGCGCTGGTCCTCTTTTTGGTTCCCCAATAAAGCCTTAATAGATATTTTCATTCAAAAAGTGGTAGACGACAATATGTATCCTCAAACACATACATACGTACATACATACAACAAACGACATTATGTAAATTGCGAATTACATTTACATGGATGGTTCTTGCATCGATGCATATTGGTGGTCCGTGGCGTAGTTGCTTCTTAAGTGTGTTGCGATAACATACGTCTAGAAACCCTATTTTCTCCTAGTTATGCGGTTGAGTTGTACATTTGGTCAATATTATGTTGCCACATATATCTATATATGACATACGTGTGAATATTCAGTGGTACTATAGCTACCTTGCATAAGTATACATATCTATATACAATATATATAGTCTTTATTTTTCGTTATATATATATATATCTCTCTCTCTCTCACTCACTCTCTTTCACTCTGTCTTTCCCCTTTTCCTTTTTTCTTTGTTTCATACTCTTTGATCGTACCTATCTACGTTATATTATGCGATACCAAAGGTGTGTAGATGAGCCTCGTAATTGAATGAATTTTTTTTCTTTTTTTCCTCGCTGTTTTTACCCGACCCCTACGAAAAGGGATGGCAAAATCAAAGTTCGGCGTTGCGGAAGTATATCGGCATTGCACAAGACTTTTTACCCGCTTTCGATCGCGAGACTCATTTGCTTCTCGTACGCATTACGTAGTGATTAATTTACCGACTACCCGTCCGTTGAAAAGCCGCTTTCGCCAGCCTCGAGTGGGCAGCTTCGTAGCGAACTGTTGTCGATGACCATGTCATAGCAGAACCGTAACGTATATCAAAGGAAACCCACGTGAAGCGGTGAAGAGTATCGCTTCGCGACACGCACCTCACGTGTGTGCAAAGTCAAATTGGCAATTGGCGAGTTTCATTGGGGTCAGGTGTGAGTGTGCTCCCTGCTCTCCCTCTCAATGTTTCTTAGAGTAAGACCGATCACGAGATCAACGCGACCCACGTAGCGCGATTGATCTTATACGAGCGACACCTCATAAGTGATCCAACTGGAACACGGCGTTGCCATTTGCATGCTACCAAAACACGGATGTCCGTTGTCCGCCCGTGCATCAATCACAATCCGCACGACATTTGAGGGTGTCCCTCGGAAGCGAGTATGACTCGGGCTACGATCGGTCGGCGCGCACGATCGGCGCTCGAGCAAGGGATGCGAGTCTTAGGATCTCCCTTCCCCCTCAATGTCTTCGTTCGAACTGGACGCAAGGCAAGTCGTCCGAAAATACTAAATCATAATCGAAGCCCAGTGCCGATGATGCTGCACTGATCTCGGTGAGCCAACGTCTCTTGCTCTACGATGAATATATTATACCTTTAGATCTTAGCGGCGATTATTAATTAATAGTAATATCTTAAAACTTCGGTGGCGCGTTGTGTCACCTGTCGTCGCGTGCGTAGACGATTTCGATCGTTTCAGCGAACGAGATGTTCGGATACTCATCGAGATCTAATTTTCGCGGTGTTGATCGTATTTTGTAAATCGAACAGTCTTTAGATCATGTGAGTAATCACGACATCGTGGCAACGTCGCGTAAAATGCATGCGATGTGTTGCTGAAGCGATGGTTGGACGTTTCTGAGGTGTGCGTTCGTGTGTGACGGAAGCCATGAAGATTACCGCGCGTTGCAGCAATTTTTTTACTAGACAATTGTGGCGCAAAGACAAATTTTTTCACTCGAAATTTTTCAAGTTTCTTCCTGTGGGTCCCCCCCAGAACGCGCAGCGCGCGGTCTTCATGGCGTTTTCGCAACGCGTCAAAATAGAAGAGAGTCTTGTTTCCTTTTGCAGCCTCTCCGGGTGCCCACGTGCCGACCGCTCGCAAATCCAGGCGCATTCCCAGGAGCTCAAGTGCCCTACGCCGGGATGTGACGGTTCCGGACATGTCACGGGAAATTACTCGTCGCACAGAAGTTTATCCGGTTGTCCACGGGCCAACAAGCCGAAGAGTAAACCTCGAGATGGTCAAGATTCTGAGCCCCTGAGGTCAGTCGGCGCGAATACTATTAATTATGCGCTCTATTACTGATTTTCTGTTCACGCGTTTAACATGGATCGGCAGCGTCCCAGCATTTCCTTTGTTTGTAGAGGGGCGTTAATTGTACAGCACGCGTATGTACATCTTCAACTAATTGCGTTTAATTTTAATGAGCAACATCAATTGGGGCATATTAACGAAGGAATTATCTTATCATCAATTAAATTTTGCGGAAGAATAATTACGCAAGATGTATTCAACGTTTAAGCATAACATAATAGCATTGCAACGTGCTCGTTTTGACAAAATGAAATTCTTTTTGAAAAACTATTACATCTTGCAAAATTTTTCTTTGTTAACTATTCAATTTCCATCCAGTACTGAAAAGTGGCGGATATAATATGATGCAAAAGAGATTCAAAAAGAACGGGAAGGGGAAGGGGAGGGGGCTATCGCGAGTTCGGTAGGATTTGGTTTCACGACGCGATTACATCTTGCAAGTTTCGCAATTTGAGGGTGCGACGGTAATCGCGATCTCAATTTGCGTTTTCGTCGCGTTCGCACGTTGCACGTAGCAGCTAACGCAGGTATCTTCTCGACCGCATTGCACGTACCGCGAGGCTGCCGGATGAGACCCCCGAGAAAGGGGAAATCCCATCCTCCCCGTATAACCGCACTCCTAACTCCCTTTGCCCGAGTCACACCCCGCGCAAAAGCGAAGACGCTGACTAATAACTGGCGGTTTCCGCTCGTTTCACGCTCGCTCTGTGCGGATGGATTATGTGGTGTTGGTGACGGTGGCGTTGGCATTTTGGACTACAGATGTCCAATCCCGGGTTGCGACGGGTCCGGCCATGCCACCGGCAAATTCTTGTCGCATCGCAGGTAAGGCTCGTAGGAACTTTCACGCAACATGGATCTTGCTTTAGGATAATCGTTTTCTTTTCTCTTTTTTTTCTACGTGTATAATTATTCTATGTGTTATCAATTTGCAATAATTAAATGCTTTTAGTAATATTAGCTTCTATCCAGATAAAACTAACCGTTGAAGTTCTGATTGCTTGTAACTTATTAAAAATATTGATATCCCAGCAAACACATTATAACTACAATATTGCAGCAATATCGTAATATTTCTGCAATATAACTGGAATGAGTGAAATGTTACAATGTTGCTGCAACATTGCAGTTATAATCTGTGTTTGCATTCGATTTGCAGTAATCTATTTCGATAATAAATTAGATAATTAATTATATATACATATGCGTAACTTAAGCATAAAATATTTTAAACTATTACATTACTATTTACTTGAAATATTTTAAACTGTTACATTATTATTTACTTGTCAAATGAGGATTGAGTTTTGATGATATGCAATAAATTTTAATGATGTTCGATTATAATTGCCGAGACCGGTAACCATTTTCTATTTACTCGTTCCTATCTTCATGTGTACATTTTCGTTTCCTTATTACAGCGCGTCTGGGTGCCCGATCGCGAACAGGAATAAGATGCGAGTGTTGGAGTCTGGCGGTACAGTCGAGCAGCACAAGGCGGCTGTGGCCGCCGCAACGGCCATGAAGTTCGAAGGTGTCAATTGCCCCACGCCCGGATGCGACGGACTTGGTCACATAAACGGCTCCTTCCACAGCCACAGGTCTCTGTCGGGCTGTCCGATAGCCAGCCACGCCGTGAAGAAACCGAAACCGGAGGACAATATGAGCATGTACAGCAGAGGAATCACCGGTGAGGATCGAGTTGCCTCTGATGTCGCCCCCGGCTGTCAATACTTAACGATCGAAGAATAATATTGTCATAGTTACGCTGTGCGTGAGACCAATCGTTACGAAGAAGAATAACGATCCGAATTTATTGTCCAAAGAATATCCGTAAACAAAAAATTCTCCTCGCGCGCAGCTGTCAAAATTGAGATCGCGAGATGCGTTTTTTTTTTTTTTTTTAATCAAAACGCGCGGTAGAAAGAGAGATAGAAAGAGATAGAGAAAGAAAGAGAGAGGAAATGTTACGAAGTAGATAAGACAGTTTAAGTTCGCTCTCTGTTCTTTTCTATGCTTGCGCATCGCGCTCGTTCGGGATTTACCGTCGATGCAGCTTATTTCTTTTTTTTTCTTTTGTTTTGCTCAGACTTCGTATGTGGAAAAAATTTTCATAATTTGATCGACGAGGACGAGCGTGATGCTAAAACATACGGAATTATGTATCTTCCTTTGTAAACTTGTGCATATCAAACCTTGTACTTGATCCCGTGCTATGCCATACTCTGCTCTTCACGCAATGATGTGCTGTCATACCAATAAGAACAACCTCTCTCCCTGTCCTTCCGTTTTTTCTCTTGACCATCAAAGAGTTCGTTTTTTCTTTTATTTCTCTCCTTAAATATTTCTTTTCCCCGTTTCGACCCCCTCTTTTCTTTTTCTCAGTAATAAATGTTCCACAGGTTTGCGAGCAAATATCGCAACTGAATTAGATACGAAACGGTGAAAGGATGCCACAAATAGCTATATATAAAAGAGAGAGAGAAAAAAAAGAAGAAACAGAAGCAACAGAATCGAATACGATGGCGTTAATTTACTATCTCATTTTTTTTCCTCCCTTTCGATTCGGTCCCGCGCAGGAACCTCTTCCTTCGTTATGTACAAGACAGAAAAAAAATGTAAAATCGAAAAAAAAAAAAACAACCGTATGTCTTAATGATGGAAAATAATATATTCTGATTTATTCTGGGATCAGCTCCTTTCATGTTGAGCTTGGAGCACGGTTACTTTTGAAGGTAAGGGACTGACGTATTCGCCACTTGTTTCCTATGTGTTTTCGATGTTACATTACAGAATCTCCACACACCAGTATTTTTTTACTTTTACGTGACGACGTCCGAGTGTTGGCATACATTTGTGAATATCATGTATATACCTCTTGGCACAGTAAACCAACCAGTAAAGCTTTTCGTTTCTTACTCATTTTCACCGCGCGACGACCAGTGTCACGCCCGCGTTACTCCGACGCCAGCACTCGGTGTCCTCCGTCTTTTTTTTTTCTTCTATCTGGTATGATGGCACCTCACGCTATAATTAACCCCCTCAAAACACCCCGACATTGTCCCGATCATACCATTTCCACGGCACTCCTGTTCAGGTTCGTGCGTTCTCTTACCGAGTCGGAGCACACGCTTGATCGAATGAGCCTCAAAGTGTCTCTCGCTTTTCTGCCGAGATGCGTTTATCACTTTGGCACGAACCGTACGCAGAAGAAACCGTATACCGTTCCGTTATTTTGAGACAAGCTACAATGCAGTGACTTGGGACGAGCGAAGTGAAAGAGAGAAAAAAAAAGGATGTAATGCAGTATCGGAAAATCATTTTATTCAGACCTGCATAATTAATTGCGACGTTTCACACAAAACCGCTTCGCCTAAGTCGCTGCCTGAACCGATCCTTGACGTAAATTTTAAATACATTTTCACCTCTGTCGCGTAAAAGTCCCGTAAATCTCCCTGTTTGGATTTTTCGATCTAACGCTTACCTATCGTGAATGAAAAAAAAAAGAAAAGAAAAAAAAATAAGACATGCCAGAACGCTTGTATTTAAATTCGTACGAACTTCCGTCGAACGTTCGGCAGCTCGAGTCATGACAAGTTTCCAGTAGTTGTATCCCGTAGCATTTGTTATACGTATCACACGTGTTAGGGGACCGCATTTTTTTCGCATTGAGACGAAAGGGCGTACGAATCGCGTCGTGCACGCTTGATTGCGCGTGAAAACCGACTCTCTGGTAAATCGGGAAATATATATACGATATATAATCTCTCTTTCGGCCGTATAACGGGCAGTCGATGAAACTGGACCGTGTCTGTCCTGTCCTCAGGGTTGGAAGCCGGTGGTCCGGCTCACGGGGGTGCGGTAGGCACGGGTCAGGGTAACTCGAGCGGTAGCGGGACCGCCGGTGTCCAGAGCGAGGATCTCTACACACTGGAAGCTGAGATCACCGAGCTCCAGAGAGAGAACGCCCGGGTCGAGTCGCAGGTCTTGCGCTTGCGCTCGGATATCACCGCTATGGAGAATCAGCTCAAGCAGGGAGACAAGGTCAGTATTTGCTCAGTCGGTAGTGTACCGTGCGTCGAATAAATAAATAACAACAATTGTATGTAAAAAAATAGAAATTTGCTAGATTTTTAGATAGATAGATCTTGGTGCTCGTGAGCCAATTTGCATTATCTTTGTCGCGATCGCACCACTGAATTTTATTTTAAAAGCTAAATTCTAATATCACGCTAAGATTGCGTTGTTATTTATTTATTAAATAATCTTTTTTCGTGAGATTATTTTATGGAAAATTTATTATATAAAATAGTAATTATTATATATTCATAATAATTATTATATGTTAAATAATTTTTGTTTTATTAATCATATGCTGGTATTATACAAGTGAACTAACCGGTAGTTGATCAGTCAATTTCGCGTGTTAAAAAAAGAAACATTTGATTTTAAATTTGGCTGGACAGAAAGCATAATTTATTATATATTTAAATAAGCATTTTTATTGCGGTTTAAATTATTTTCCTTATCAATTATGTTTCTTATTGATCTCGCGTGAATGATTGCCGTCGAAATAACGTTTCCGCAGACGTTATCTTGCGCATCAAGATATCTCGATTGACAAGAACATCCTGTCATTTCTTTTTACAGGAAACCTCATCGATATCTCAGCGCAATAATAATCTAACCGAGTACTATCAATCGCTGCGCGACAACATGATTACTCTGCTGGAGCAGGTGCGAATACCGAACGCCCCGGGCGGACCGCAGGAGAAGATAGGCCACGAGAACTTCGACAGTTATCTGACGAAGTTGCAGACTCTGTGCACCGCCGACGGCTACTGCGCCGACGAGAGCAACCGGCCGATTTACGAGACGGTGAAGACCGCTCTGCAGGACTTCACGGTCCTGCCGACACCCATCTGAGACCATCCTTAAAGATCGACGATCGGGTACTGAGCGTCGCTCTCGGGACCCGCGCGACCTGCGAGCGATCCGGCGTATTCGTGACGTACGCGCGGCCCGGGTCGCGCAAGCCGTTCCGCTCTCGCTCCACCTTCGAAGTACGAGTGAACGGAACGGTGCCGCGCGAGAACGGTGCCCAGTTCCCGTAGAAACGTAGACGACGCATTAATATAAATCGACACGAGAGAGGAAGAGAGAAAAAGTAGATAGCTGCACGCACGAGAGAAAGAGAGAGACAGAGGGAACTGCGTCGTCGTGACTGAGCTCCGCGGATCGGCCTATCGACCTGGAAGAAACCCGGCTTCGTGACGCGTGTGACTCATCCGGATGATTGCGGCGAATCCGGCCGGTGCGTCACACGTATATACCTACATACGTACATCGCTCGCGTGAATTTCGGACTGCGTCAACATCTTGGCCGACGTCAACTTCGCGATCACGTGCGATCGTCGCGGGTGACGACGTCGGGTGAAAGTCGCCGCGGCCGGTCGGGCTACGCCGCCGACCGGCTCGTAGGCTGCTTAGAAAAAAAACAAAAAAAAAACGCTATAACGGCATCTAACCGGTATAATGGGCTCGGGGCTCCACACATCGGAGTGTCCGAACTTAAGCTAAACGGACTATATTGTTTACGGGGCGGCGTTGCCCCCGTAAAGCGCGATATATCTTTTGTACATAATGATGTCTGACGTCAACAAGTATCACGATCGACGGCGGCCGCTATCGCCGCGATATATGTACATATACAAAAGCGGAAGAAATTGCGTTTATATTATTCGACAGGTTGATGGTTAAGTCGCTCTAAGTCATGTAAAAACGATTAATTTAGCTGTATATCGGATTCTTGCCATTTTAACGCTGTGTAACTGTTATTGTACCATTTAAGCGAGGTCAACGCGCGACTCATGAGGACTGCTGTGTCCATCAAAAATGACGTTTTTCTGCTGAAAACCCTGGAAAAAGGCTACTTATTAAATCAATTTATCGGCTATTTACCAGCTAGTCACTATTATTATTATTATTTTTATCTCATTATTATTATTATTACAATTATTATTACCAATACTGTAACTGTTACAACCAGCCAGATCGTTTTTAGCGTCTAATTCAATCGTCATTGCTACCATTACTCTTACTACTGTCGATAAAATATAGTCACGAAGTATACCAACATATTTATATAATATTATCGATTCTATAAGAATGAAAAAGTGCGATGCGTTGTCCATAGGCTGTACATAGTCACAGAGATATACAATTATTATAAGGACAAGAATCGCTGGCGATAATGAGCTGTGCGATTTTTCGGTGGGACGACGAAAAAAAGAATGAGAGAGAGAGAGAGAGAGAGAGAGAGAGAGAGAGAAGGAGAAAGAGAAAGAGGAGAGAAAAGAAATGCTCACGAGGTCATGCGTGGCCTCTTCATTAACAGCTATCAATCATAAGTCCGATGTTCTGTCGAATTTATGCTTGTTCGAGACTCAAGTCGATTAAATCTTGATCATTTTATCAAGGACAAGAGGAAGGAAATCGTGCTTCGCGTTCCTTCATGACACGGCACGACCAATTCGGTCGGAGGATAAATATTCGTTCGTATGTGCAATAATTTCAGAATGCCGTCGTCGCATTCTCACTCCCCCCTGTATATTCGCGATCACTTATACGACCGCTTCGCGATCGACACGTGTACATTTGCATCGCGGCGCGGTTATTATTGTTTCGTTGAGCTATATTGCGTTTCCTATTTACGTTATAAAACGTTTGTTTTGCCGCTGGAACGCGTGGAATGCGGGGGAAGCCGCAGGAATTTGTAAATATCGAAAGTCCGCGACTCTATGACAAGTCATACGAAGAGTCGTCGCTTCTCGTTGGAGCTGTATGTGTGTTATTATTACTATAGGACATGCCAGAAATTTCCGTTATCGCTGGTTGACTTTTTACACCCACGCGTGTGAAGTCAATCGATCGACATAGATGCAAGAGATTTTTATCAAACAGTATAACACCTAAAAGCAAAATAAAAACATATAATTTAACTGTAGATCTATTATAAAAAAAAACATAGATATAATTGAAAGAAAAAAATTTGATAACGGGGCGCTTATAGACCATTACATTATCACATGCGTATTCATTACAATCAATATCAATTGAACTGCCAAGAAAAATGCTCTTAATATATCATATGTATTTTAGATGATTTAATATTTAATTTTAACTCTCCTATTTCCTCTCTTCAAATTATTATCACACGCGGACTGATAACGTCAAGATTGTAAAATCATAAGATATGATTATTGTAAAAATAGCAGACATGTCGATCGGATAATCAGTGATTTTGCCGATTATGAAGCCGCATTATGTTAAAATTATATTACGTTCGCTATACAACTATGTGTATCAGATGATGTATATAAAGAGAAGGGAAAAAATTAATTGTTTGTCTGAGATGCTGGTGGATGAGACGGGAGAAGCCGCGTGCGGAAGAAGTGAATATACTTTAACCAACCACCGTGTAGTGAGAGTAATAACAAATTACAGATAGCGATAGTCGACCGACAATTACGAATAATCTCGACGTTATAATTATTCTTGTCACTATCATTGTCATTATGATTACGGTTTTTCATCGTCAATTGTTGTGAAACAGTTTTTCTTTTTTCTTTACTTCGAGTTAGCGCAATTGGCATGAAAAAAAACGGAGACAAGAACGAGTGGAAAAATACAGGTAATCAACAATCAACAGTAACTGCATTTCGATTTTGCAACGGAATCCAACTTCCGTTGCGCCGCAATTAATATACTCTGCGATATTCATTATTAGTATCGTCATTATCATCTACTAGTCTTGAATACTAAATTGTTATTATTGCAATTATTGTCAGTATTATTTTTGTGTTATTATTATTATTATTATTATTATTATATTTATTGCAATCAACTTATTAATCACTATTATATCGTTACGTTTTCGTCACTATTACGATTATGATTGTTGCCGTTAATAAAAATCTACAGGTATATAAGTTTCAATAACATGCTTTAAGTAAGTATAAATGTTACTCCGATTGAATAAAGGGTATTTATCGATGAATACTAATCATTTCTCCTTCCACATCGTACTTGTGTGCGAAATAATAATTCTTTCAATGCTCATTCTTAATATTCGCTTTGATAAGGCAAGATGATTACGCGATAAAAACAGGAAGAGTCAATCTAAAAACGATAATGGCTCTATCAAAACTTTATAAATACATATTTTTACATTGTGTTAAATCCGAGGTAACGTATGCAAGACATATTATTTATCTGTAGATAAATTATACACGATCTTCTGCACGATATGACATTTGGCAGGGAATAATGGTAAAAGTAGGGCACTAGACAGAACAAAAGAAAAAGACTTGTCGTAGAAAAATCTCATATTTTGTATTTGAACTTTCGATATAAAAAAGTCTTATTTTACAAGCATCGCCATTGCGTTCGACAGTGGTTGTTTCGTAATATCTACACGTATATATGTAACAGTATATATCACAATAAAATGGACGTGCGAATGGCTTTCGCATGAGTGTGCTGTGCGCGCGTGTGCGTATTTAAAGAGACAGACACTGAGATGATATGGCAGAAGATCATTCTTCAGTAAATTACGCGCAGCTGGTACGCTCGCTATGCGCGCTAAATGCTCTATTACTGTGATTCCTCTCCGGATCATCGTGGGACGGGATCCTCGGCGTACGCACGAATGGCGCGCGCTTCGCGATCCCGATGGGACAATGTCCCGGAGTGAGAAAATCTGTCGCGAGCATTTCCCATCGCATATACATATATAAAAAGTCACGTGGACTTAATGGTGAAACAGTTTGAGCTGCTTTATTTCAAAAGCGACGTGGGTCAAAATATCGGAGCACAACGAATTTTAAAATATTACATTATTATAACGGCGATAAATCGATGCGATTTACGTATTTTAGCGTGATCCCTTTTCAATTTTTTCCCCACGTCACTTTCCAAATAACGATCGCGATCGTAATGAGATGAATTAAAAATGCAAATATTCTAAAAATAAAAAAAAAACACGTGTTTGCTCCGTCAATTTAATTTAACCTTAAGAGACCACCGTTTCTACAGATCGGCATCAATCAGGGCGCGACTGGAATCGTTAAATTAAATGAACAGCCGACCGCGAGCTGAACGAAACATCTGACTGTCAAAAGTCGTTACTTCATTCTCGCGGTTACAGAACAGCGGCCGAGCCAATAGTGCAATTGATAGAAATCGCGCGGTCGCCTATGACATAATTCATCGCGGATGGATTCTCGTTGAGACGCGATCATCGGATTACATTGGAAATGTAAAACGAGTACGTATATATGTATGGACCCGTACAAAAAATGAAAAAGAGTACGACATGATATAGATTCGTTCGTTTGTGCATCGTGTATCAATACGTCGTTACGTATCACCTCTGTGTATTCATTTTCTCAGATGCGCGCGATCCCACGTGAGATCCATCCGACTTCCGACAAATAAAAAAAAAAGCGAGGCTTGGATCTGCAATATAATTTGGGAGTAGCCGCGAATCTTTAGGCGCGTTAGAATGAACTCGGATGCCTCGAAACGGACTCCGTTTAACGAGTTTTTGTTTCTTTCCGGATCGTGAGGCAGGAGTTGCAGCGACGTAAGTTACAAAGGAAGAGTTAAACGTTCGGAAACGCGCTAAACGATATCGGTGCCAACGCAGTTCGCAGTGTCTAATAGATAATAGTAATAATAATAATAATAATAATCTAAGCAGTCGATATCTAAGACGTCGCGAAGAGATCCTCTTTCGATTCTTGCTCTTGTGTGGAAAAATGCTGAGCGTTCTTTGAATGGTTTAACTTCCTCTCCCTCTCCACATTTTGCGCAGCTATAACGTATAACGTTCACGCATCTCGTAACGACGAGAGCAAACAACGGAATTGTCGTACGATCGTGTTATTCGCGGTCCGCAGACGTGATCGCTCTTCGCAATTGACAACGGTGTGTACGTCGATTCTCCAATCCACGTCGCAGACCTGCGTATTCATTGGTCTCTATTTTCAGCACTTTAATCTCACCTGGAACAAAAAAAATCAAGTTGTTGGAGAGACTATAGGCCTCCTTACATTCTAAATTTAGAAATACTCTGTCGTATTATTCGAATTGACGCTTTAGAGTCCGGAGGTGCATTTATGTCCCCATTATATTATTTTTGAATTCAAATAAATTGAAATGAGCTATTCATCATGTTGAACTCGGATGTATTCATGTCTGTATTAAATTATTTTCTAGTCTGAATAAATTGAAATACGAAACGAGCTATTCACCATGTTGAATTCGGATGTATTTATTTATGTCCGTATTATATTATTTTTGGATTCAAATGGATTCGAATAATCAGAATTCGTCAATTCGGAAATATCGAAATGAATTAATTTTTATCCATTTCAACTTGTTCCCGTTTGCTGGATAATCAATATCTTGATTATAAAATAAAAATAAAAAATAAAACACGAGTTTCTCGTGTTTAAAATAAAGTTAATCAATTTTAATTAATTTGGAAGAAAATATATGCTTTAAATAAAAATACACATATAATAACTATCTCGTCTCTTTTAACTGTGAGATAACATTGGTTATCCAAGGCGAGGATACAGCGCCAAAAGATTTAAGAGTGTCCTTACCTCGCGTAAGGCGGTGGCGGCGTGAGCGTTGGAGAGACGATACTGATGGTCGTCGGGATAACTTGTCCTGAGGATAACGGCGGCGTGCTGCCATTGCTCAACCTGATTAATTGACTAGGATTTAGCTTGATGGCGTCGTCGTAGCTCGGTGGTGCGTCCGTCACCGCCTCGTAATCCGGCGGCTTTTGCCTCGACACGCCAGGCGGTTCCTCGATGGAAATCACGTGGATCGGGTCATCGATCTTTAAAAGGAGGCGATCGGTTGAGTTAGCTTCGGCGTATCGTAGAATTCAATTGCATAACTTTGCGGGATTGTATACAGCTACACTGCTTATTTTCGCGCTTTAACGTTTCTTGTTTAACTCGAAGGATTTCGGTCAGTTATTTAAGGGAGCATATACGTCTAGAGAGGTAAAAAAAAATCGATTTTTTTTTAAATACATATTTTTAAAGTATGATATCTTAAGAATGTTTTTGTAAAATTTTAATCGACGAAAAGTTTCGATCCGACGAAAGGTGAAACAGTTACACGAAATTACAGTCGAGTAGGTTCGAGCGCGCTGAGCGTCGCTCAGATCATGCTTGCGCGTCTAAACATGATCTGTTGCGTTATCATGCGACTGGATCGTAAAGCGATTTTTTGGAAGCATCCACTTCAACAGAGAATTTGCTTTATGGACCTGGAGTAAATGATTCATCATGTAAATAAATTTTTTAATATTTTTGAAGTGTAATCTGAATGTAAAAATTTAAACGCGTTTTTCTCGAAACGTGGTTTTCAAAACGCGTGACCATTATGTCTCGAAAATGGTTTGATTAATTTGCAATTTTACATGCTTTTTCTAGATATTAAAAACTAGTTCTCTACATAGGATTTTTTTAATGATGCTTCGTTTTTTTTGCAGCCAAAAAATGAGTAAGATTTAAAGTGATAAATCGCTATGTTGACTTTGACCAGCTGCCACATTGTTCAAATGCAATATTTTGAAAAACGGCTACGTATAGGGAACTATCTATGTTTTAACTTTGTATAACTCGTTGCATTTTGCTTTCAAATGATTTGTAAGAGTAGCAGTGATCAAACCGCAAAAGCCGTTTTCAAAACACGACTAAAAAAAACTTAAATTTTTAAGCGAAGCCATTTTTTAAATCATTTTTTAATCAAATATATATATTTAAAAAAATATATATGATCTTTTCAATGAAACAAATCCGACTTCTCTATCTTTTTTCGTTTCTCCGTAAAAAAATTTGCAAAGTTAGATCTTGTTTTGACGTGTTTAGGTGATGTATATGCCTCTTTAATTTTAATCGTTTGTTGCTTAATTTTTTTAGGGAGATTCGTTTTACGAATTGCGTTCTGAAATTTCTTTGAGGATTGTTATTTCTAGTATCAATTGCCTTCTTCTAATTTAAGGACATTCGCACGCATGGCAATGTAACTTACATAATACTTTGCAATTTAACTTTGGAAATCTTTTATAGAGTAACTGACATGCGAAAGTTTTGATATAGGTATTGTCGTTATTGCATTTTTTCAGAACATAGTTTCAAAAATTTACAAAAGGAGTACCTAAATTCAAGATTACATAACTCAATTTTACGATTTCAAAAGCAGCTATGCAACTTCGACGTTCGATTCAAATTTCCCAACGATAACGTATGTTTCGCGAGAAAGAATATGTTGCACAGTTAATCATTATGGAAATACATCGTCGCCGGGAGGTCTATTTAAAGAAAGTATCCAGATCGCGACTTGACCGGCCTCGCAGTTCCCGCGATATTCTATACGCGCCGCGTTATAAGGATATTCACCCGGAAGTACACATCGCGCTATATTCGTCGTAGGTCGTCTATAGATATCTTTACGTATACCTAGCTCTCTCGGTATTCTTCGGAAGGCATTGTGGCCGGCTGAATGTAAGTCGCGAAAGGGCGCACGCCGAGAGAGATACATATAGGGTGACGTACGAGACGCGCGAGCGCGCGCGCCGATGACGAGAATAGCCGTGGCTATTTGCGGTGGTAAAAAAAAAGCTTCGCTGGAAAATTGCATAATGAGCCTAAGTGGAAACGGCGAGGTGAACGGCTGTGACCCCCGAGAGCTCTCCCCCTTCTCTCTCTCTCTCTCTCTCTCTCTCTCTCTCTCTCTCTCTCTCTTTTCGCGCCACGAAATTCTTTCCTGCTAAAAACTCACTCGATCATCGCCGATCTGTAGGCGCGAGAACGTGACCTCGAAGATTCGAAGAAACAACATTCCACGCTGTTTATATTTAATCGAATGTATCAGAACGTGAAGATGACGTCCATTGTCTGATGGCACATGTCACCTCGATGTACGTACATCGAGTCACACGATAAGCGGATCGCGAGAGAATAATGTGATATGATATAATCATATACAATATCGAGATCATTGCAGCATCTCTGTCACGTAACAGATCTAACAAACAAAATTAACTTTCGTTGCAAATATTTGTCCAATAATTATCAATTGATTCGCAATTACTTGACTGCGTCAAGTTATCACTAAAAGTTGATAACTTCCGAATTTATGCAAAGAATTATCAAATGCATTTACCCTTACCGAGCGTGGAAAGATTAGAAAATTATGCAGAAATTGCAATATCAATCGCGCCATGAGTCTTTGACGATCAAGCTTATTTTAAAACTTTTTAGTGCATGTCATACGCGCTGACTTCCTTCTTCAGAATCAACGTCACGATAAGTCGCTATCTGAAAGGTTATCAAGCTTCCATGAAAAAAATCAATTGACATGTTGATTTTTTTCGTGGAAGCTTGATTTAAAATAGATTTCTGGAAATCGAGTGACACTCGTGCACTCTCGATTTGGGGGAACACCCTGCAAGACTAGATAGAACATTGCATGATAACGCATGATAAAGCCAAGACAGGCATACACAATTCGATATATCGTACATTTATCAATAATGCAAGCGAGAAGTAAACATGTGGAAGACTTAATTTGAAGTTACGTATAACTGACAGTTGGGAAATAGCTAACGTTCCTGAATTCGTGAATGTTGTGCGCTACGTCATTATCTTCGACATCAAAATTTCAGATTGTCGATTTAAGAATTTCGATCGGATCCGTAAAGTAGATATGTGTACAGTAAATAATACCCAAGGATAAGTAATAATAAATATAGCTATACATGTTTCCGCGGGTGAATATCCTTATAGCGGTAATCGACATTAGAGACTCCGCCACGACCTCCTTTGCTGACGTGCACTATATCTTTTTTGCATATACAATGTAACGAAGCATAAAGAACGGACAGGCAAACATTTGAAAATGGACAGGCCGTTTATTTTACATAGGAGAATATTCGCCGACAATTCCACGAAGAAAAAAAATGCCATACAGATTTAAAATAGCGCTGACCAGAAAGATAAAGGAGAGGGAAGAGAAACGAAATATATTTCATGATAAAAAACTGAGAAAAACGAAGATTTGCGAGTACAAATTAGATAATTATTAGTTATTGTCAGTATTAGATATTAAATATTAATTATTATCAATACATGTCCTAATTAAACTTCATCAGATTATTAGTTATTGTCAATATTAGATAATTAAATATTATTCGTACAGTTCTAATGAAATCTCGTGTTAAATGATTATTAGTTATTGTCAATATTAGATATTAAACATTATTACCGTACTAAATTCTAATGGACTTGACGAAACGGTACTTTCGAATTCTCTCTTTATACGGTATGTTAAAATTGTTCCTAATAACAGTAGATAATGCTGATTAGGCATGCTGATTGCAACATATTGGATAGATAGACCGGCAGCACAGAGAAAGAATATGAATCATTGGAACCAACGGTATTTACAGATATTAACAATAATGCTGATCTCTCGCAAGGAGGATGTATTAACGAGGTTTCGAGGAAAATTAGAGGCATCCGCGGAATCGTTCGCAATATTTCCGTCATTCGAAATCGAAAGGAGGAAATGATAGTAACGTGATGCAATCACTGCTTCGCCGCTGCCGCTCTATGGATGACGTGAGTCTCGCTCACAAGTCTCGCGATCAGAATACGCCTCGGTCGCTTGAAATTTTTACGATGTCCGCAAACATCAGTCCGCAAGGTTGTTTTGCGCCGGCGAGGAAAACGCGCGACGAACGCAGGGCCTGTTTACCGAACATTTTAATGATTTATGAACTTCACGACGTATTATCTGATATGTATGAAAGTGTGTACTCTCTTTATCTTTTTCTCTCCTTTTTTTTCATATCTCACTCGCGCTGGGCTCCGTTCGAGCGGCGGGAAGGTAGGAGGGGGCAGGAAGAGGAGGGGAGCGAAAGAAGTATGAGCTATAGATCGGTGGGTATATTATTAAGCTTCTTCTTATTCTGTCCATCGTCCGCTGGTAATTGCGGCTTACTGCTAGGCTAGGGTATATCTATAGATAATACGCGTTCCTTGTGGTCTATAATAGGGGGTTGACCCGGATCGATCTAAAAACGTTTTAATCTCAGGGGCCTTCAACCGCGCCGCGACCTGCATCTCTTTCGGATCGGGCCTAAAGAGATTATTATATATGTGATAGATGTTTATTATTGTTCCCAACATCGGCGATATTAAAATGTCTGGCGATAATTATTGTTAGTATAATAAATGCGAATTTGTAAAAGTATCGCACTGATGTAAAATATTATTGCATTAAGAATAAAAAAATGAATATAGTTTGTGAAAAAATGACTCTGATAAATAACAATTAATTACAAGAGTAAAAATAAATATCAAAGTTTTAGAGTTGTGAAGATAAATTTTTAATCTAATTTAAATCTTTCTTCGAATAAACTACATTTAAAAATAAAAAGATAATACTTAAATATAATTCATTTAACAATTAATTTATTATTTTAATATGTGGCTCAAGAAGTTAGAAAAGGGATCCAGAATGTTTGAGATGTAATTTAGTGTTGTTAAGTTTTTTGTAATTTTTGCTTAATAAAAATAAAATTTTTGCTATTGTAAAAAGCTTATAATAAAGAAACTGACGTAGTGAAACAGTGCGATACAATTATTTGACTGTACGATATTATTTGACGACTTATTTGGCGTTTATTCAATTCGAGATTACGTCGTGACATTCGCAGAGTATAAAGTGCTAATAATAATTATTATTGCTCGCGTTATGAGAGCACATGCATACGAGACCTCGCGTGGTAGCGATGATTAATGAAGGCAGATTTACAAAAAAAAAAAACGAATGATTAATTATATTGGAAAACCGGTAGATTTACGCTGATATATGAGTCATAGTTCTAATTCCCTCCTTTGACGTGGCTCTCCTCCAAGTTCAATTCGAGGTGAAACAACACGATTCTGTTTGACAGAGGCAAATAAATTCGCCAAGTTGACACAGAGTCCGTGAATTACCTGTGCCGTGATTGGATGGTTCGTGTGTTGCGTGTGCGTGCTCGTCCTAGTTGGCGGTGCGTGCAGCCAGCAGCACATCGCGGCGCAGATGAGGAGGGCTCCGGCGACTATGCAGGCGACGCCGACGTAACGCACCGGCTCAACGTAGTTCTCGGCTAGGCCCAACCAGTTGATGAGAGCCCCGACGCACAGCAGGACCATCCCGTACCGGTATGGACGTTGCGATCTCCGTGACTCCTCCAGAGACATAGCTGGAAAAAAAACATGGAATATGCTCTTCTGAAAAAATTCTACTGGCGCGTAGAATTCTACCGTGTTCGACGGATCGAACATGGAAAAGACTATCTTCGACGAAGAACACTTCGCGTGTTTGAAGTGTTCTTATAACAGATGGATATTTTACGAGATATGGGTGCGCAAATATGTTGACGGTAACATGAAAAACAAAATTTGCGACGTATTGAACAGAATAACCTTCGATTTGGCGCTGTTATAAATAGATCGCGAGACAAACGCACGTCGGTATCAATCATTTGATTTGTAGGCAGTGTGACATTCGTGAATGTAAAGTTGGGGATCGTTTCGCTTGATATGAATGATGTTAGTATAACAGCTGTCATAAATATGACGGCGGTCTACTGCCGTGATATTAAAATTTAATAGCGTATAAGTAATGCTCAATCGAACATACGTTCCAAAATCGTCCGGCAGAATTAGGACGTATAGTTGTCGGTTATTAGCCTACGATATCCGATTAGTAATTTTTCTAATAAGATTCTAACGATAAAGTAAAGCAGAAATTGTCGACGTTTTTTATTTTATCTAAAAACATATCAACAAAATTGACAGTACACGATTAATTGACGAATTATTAAATAAAATAAAGGGCTATGAACCAAAGCAAGTTATTTAATGCTCTAAGTAAAAATACGTTAATTTACACTAATGATAACATACGTTTCGATCCTCATGAGATCATTTTCAATGTTAAAATAAGACATAATAAACGTTACTATTGTAGATTTAAAATAAGACAATTATAGCATTGACCTATAAACAAAAATCGGTAATTTGAATGGTCTAATCAGTAAAAATATATTCTCTAATATAAGTTGTAGATTCAATAAATTATTCAATAAAATTATATTAGAAAGAAATTATTTATACAAAAGAGATTTTCGAGTTCGCACAGTTAATTTAAGTTAATAATGATGGAACGTGTTTCGTAGAATAATGGCAAAAAAATTTCCGTACGCTCTTCTTCCTTGAAAGACGGGTCGCAGTTAGTTTTATTGATGCAAATTGCGATTTTATTAAGACGGCGCATGTCGATAATACTGACGAAAGTAGTTTGTGTCGAGAGCATCTTGACAAAAGACACATGCCACCTTCGAAAGTAGGTTACTCGTAGAAAACTCCATTACTCATCCACCCCCATGTGAACATCAGAAAGGGCGACACAAGCAGTGACGTCAAGAATTAGGCGGGCAATAAATAATGCTCTCATAGTAGAATTAGCAAGCGGGCGCGCCCTGATATGTTTTCATCTTGTAGACATTTACCGTTTTATTACCATCCCCTGACACGTGTACGCAATAAAAGTATTCGCAGTTAATAAAAGAAATAGAAATACGTGGTATAGCTAAAATTTAGTTAGCTTGAAACACATGTCGACAAGTTAAAGTTAAACTCAACACAGCTGAGTTGCTCAACACTGGAAAGTCGAAAGAGAGTTAAACGCTCTCTTTCCATAAATAAAGTATAACCGCTAGCGATAAATTAAAACTGCGTGAACATTGTATTTGGAAAACATCGCAAGACTTTGTCCCAGACGATGATGTATCTTTAAATAATTTCAGGATTTTGATAATCCCGACTGTTATAACGTTAAAAAGAAATTCTTCATATCCGTCGTATCGACTCTTGCAACGTTACGATAGTATACCCAAGTGCGATTGCATAAATGGCAGCCACTAACATATAATTGCACTCGAATCTATTCGCCGAATCAATAAATTATTCAGGAATTTAATTCATCAACTGAACTTATCGTTTCTTACATAATTCATTGGTTCAGTCGGCTATATATATTCTTCGATTATCTACAAAGTAGGCTATATGCAAACGATTATAACGCGTAGATAAGCCGCGTCGACATTAGTACGGGACGATCAATACTCGACACATCCTGCATGCTTCAGCATTAAATCGTTATTGTTATAATTCATACATCCGATAAAAATAATACATCGATGATAATAACATCGTTATTGATGTAATTATCGAAAGCGCTCATTCTGCTTTTACGTCGCGAAAGTAAAATACGGCAGCCTATTTCTGAAGCGACATGCTCTAAAAAACAGCACAATTACCGTGTGTACCATCATAAATATTGCGCCCGTAATTGTTGCCGCAACGACAGAGCTAATTCCACTTTAATACACTTTAATCCATATTAACGTTAATGATATTAATATTAATCGGAAAAATTGTATCTAATAAATAATTTCGATGATAATGCGATAGTGTATAATTCTCAAGCTCGAACGCGCATGCAATATGGCGCTATCTCTTTATCGCGCGACTTATTAAATAACGTGATTCAATGTCACTCCTTGAAGTGAAGAAAAAGTGTTTTGTTCTTTTTTTTTACCGCACCTCAGAATTGCCGGAATAATCGGAACCTTAAGAACCTTAAGAGACACTACGCAAGTTCAATTGATATAACATACTGTAATTAGTTTACCGCTGGACTCGTCCATGGTGCTTTTGGTGGATAATGTCGAGCGTAGGATGGTCAATAATATAGACGTGTTGCCTTTCGACTAGCAAATTTTCCAGACGACTAACATATCGCGTCGCGGGCCGCAGCATATAAAGCGGCACGAATGTAATAGAGAGTGAGGAGATCGTTCAATTCCGAGCGACGCACGATTATACGATCCGTTTCCGAGCGCACGTCACCGAAATCGTAAAGATAAAGGTCTTATTTTTGAAACGTTATCGCGCTGCGCGATCAGCACCCGAGCTCACCTCACCTGAAACACGTGAGAGGGAAGCCGTAAAATCGTCCCACCGCCGTCGCCGATGATATGCGGTGTTCTTCTGCACGCGTATGTTGTATCGACGGAGATATATGCACGCGTCGGCCAGACTCCATATGCGTGCACAAACCAACGCAATAACGCGGCCGCGAAATTAATTCCAATTTACATACATACTCGAGAAGCGACATCCAAGGACGTAACTTGTACTACGAACCTCTTCAAGAGGCTAGAGGCTAGACTATGTTCAATGAAGTGCAGGATATTGGTTAAACACAAGCTCTGTTCTGATGTAGATGTGCCATATTTTGTTTAAGCTCTCTGCCATAAGCCATGGACAGGCATACCATGCACTATAAGAGATTGCGTCACAGTAAAAAGGAGTTCACGATTGGGCAAGCCTGATCGTTGCCTTCGGTTTTGTCACTAAATTGCTGCGCATATGCATCATGCATCTTGTTGACGATTTTTATTTCTTCCAAGTGCGCATCTATTTTTAGTCGTACATAATAACTATATATATGTATATATTATATAGTTATAGTTGCACAATATTGCAAGGCCGTCAAGAAGTTAATGAGCACGAGTAATAAAGCTAAGAACATTGCTGCTGTTAATTCTTAAATTACAAGAAACCGGAGACAAAAGACTTTTGAGGGAATTAAGACACTGTACGTAGAAATTACGAAGGTATGTAAACAGTGCAATGGAATGTTTTTCGAATATTTTCACCTTGATATACCACTGCTCTGCAGTTCAATATTATATACGAAAACTAAAAAAACTAAAAAATTAGGAATAATAAATTATGTACAAATCGTTGGAAAGATATTATTAAAATAGGCATTCGTTGATCATGCAGTTTAATAATAACTGGATTGCAATATTACAATACCAATATGACATACTCGTCGTCATTTAATTCACTGTAAACGTAGAAGCTTCTAAGAACGGATAATGTTACGTGATAGTTTGCGTATCTAATATTCTTAGTATTTATTGAAGACAAAAAAAAGTATATAGTCATATGCATATTTCATTAATATCAAATCTATCACTAATTTATCGATGTTTTACCTCTTTCACTATGTTGTCTTAAGACATTTAATATCTGAATATAATTTTTAGGAGCCTCAATATTTTTCTTGATACAGACAAGAATGAATTGATTTAATTCAAGGATATATGTTTTTATAGTATAGAAATTGACACGCAACAAACAGATCTTCTATCGCCTATCTTACTCACGTATCACTATTTTTATCGTAAACCAGTTGATGAAATTTTTCCTTTGATCAGGAAAAACAATTAATCGAACCATCAATTGCGCAATATTTCAATATCAACATATATTATTATGTTGTAAGGGAAAAAATTTCGCGGAATATCTTAATTTAAATACGTACTCTAACAGTTGTTTTTTTTTTATCAATTACGTCAATTCCACAAGAATTATACAATATTTCATTCATTAATGTAACAAATCCAGTTACGAAGACATCGCTTAAGTACGTTGATATAAATTTAGATAGATCTTATCATTGCCGGTTTTATAAAGTGTTATCTATTCAATCCGAAAGTCCAAAGCTGACGAAACGAAAATTCACTGGCATTGCGGTTGATATTTTATTCTTTTTTTTTTTTATACTTCTTTTCTTGACGTACTGGTCGTGAAAATGGTGACCGCATTGATAAGGACAAAAGTGGATAGCAAGTAACATTATCGTGGTAATGACTGGTAATCGTCCGTAAATTTGCGGTGGCATAGGTACGTTGCGTAAAATTATTGTCTCGATAATTGAGTGTTTGGTCATGAGAAATATTACAACGCATCGAATGAAACGAATAGAACCGAATAGATGAAAAATTACACGTTAATTTATAATGAAACATTTCAACGAAAAATCTTTATTTTTAAATGCTTGTTATTACTATAAGTTTTAACCGAGCATGAATAATTCTTTTGGGTTTTTATTGTAAGGCAGTCCGTCATTTAAACTATTTCAATGAAATTTCAAGAATGTTAATATTATGTATGTTAATAAGGATGTGAATATTCAGCAAATATTTCTTCCGTACAACGTTGATGTGATGACATATGTGTGATAATAATATTTGAGGTAAATGAAATCGAATTTCCTTTCGTGTATTAATAAACGTGCGGTATAACTGTGTGTTATCTGTCATCTGACTCACAAATAATATTGTATATCATTAAAAGAATTAATAGCATTTTGCTGCTGCATTAGGTATAAATAATTCATCTTTTCTTTGCTACTTGTTCATTTGACTGAATACTTCTATTCTTAAATTGGTCGCATAAAAGAAAGAAAATATTTACATCTAAAGTACATACATATGCGACATCTCACGTATCTCGCAAATTCAACAACATTTACGTACAACATTTATAGCAACGTAAAATGGGTGTGATAAATCCATGAGATTGCGCATGCATATTTAATTATTTATAGCGTGTAATCGTTTTGTATAAAATTATAATAATAAAACTATGATAATAAAACTAATACCTTCTATTACTATCTATTTAATAATAAAAACATTTACATTTATGCTCCCATTTTACTCGATTATTTATTGTTTATTCGAGCATTCTAATTCTATGAGGCTACAACAAATGTAAAATGAGGTAGTAGTGCAAGAGAAAAAAATAATAAATATGATGGGAACAGAGAATAATATGAAGATTCGGACTTAATAGATGAATAGACTCAAGATGATTAAATTCGGATTAATTAATAAGACGTGAGTAAGAGCTAAGAAACGTTAATATATGTATATATATGTATAATATATATATAATAAAAAATTTTAATTATTAAGTAATAATTATCAGGAGACCTCAACAGTGATCGTCGTTAACATCGGCAAATCGAGTAAGTAATACGGCGGCAACGCGAGCTATTTTACTTAAAAAAACGAGTGCATCGATGACCATCTAAAAAAAACATTCGTTGATACACTTTTCACTTTTTGCCATATCCAAGAAGTCAAGTGAACATACAGTCATATGTACTTCCCGGCCGTTGGCGGGATCGATCCGTCTGTACTTTCGTGCATTTTGCATTTTATCGAACGGTCTCCCCACCGCACGCGTGCGTGACGGATCTCTTCTATATTTATACACGTGCGTGCGTACGGGGCCTCGCATTCGTGTCGGACCCCCGTGAAACGGCCAGAAAACGGTCACGACTCTTACGTCAATGGCTCGCACGACGGCCCGGCGGCGCGGCGGTGTGTGATATAGTTACATGGTTACCCCCGTCGCTTATATGGTTTAACCTTAACCCGGTTTCGCACCTCGCATACGGTAGCAGAGTAGATAAGTAAATAGTCGACTTTACGCATATGGAGCTGTCGCGCGCGAAAGACTGGTGAAAAATATCCGCGAGAACGGCTTTATTTACTGTTGCATCTCATGTGTATCTCTGTATTCGCATAAATCCTCCACGGTTCGGATCCTACGTGCTTCCCATTTTTATGCCTCTTCTATTTTGTGCGTACGAAAAACCGCGTTTGATGCTCTTGCCGTAAAATATTATTAGGTATATAAATATAAAAATGGAAGAGAAATTTATATATAGGTAAAAAAAATTATAGATGAGATACAACTGATATTTGCATTTTTTTTTATTATTTAGATATAAAATTTTATATTAGGTAAAAAATGAGAGTTTAACTTTCTTTTAATTATTATATATTTTATATATTTATAATTTTTAAAAGATTTATATATACCTATATATATGTATATATAAAACGTTGAAATTCGATTAATCAAACATTACTGAATTCCTTATGTTGTCCTTGCAAATAAAACTCATTTCTTTCTGGAGGCAGAAGAATAACAACAAAAATGTTCTTCGATGGCACTCACGTTATCACATGGTAATGAGTTTTTATCACGTCTCTATACGTGCTTTGCACCGCGTAAAAGCTGATCACGACGGCAAAAATTCGACGAAGAAGAGATGCAATAATACATTCATGATATACTGCGTCACTGATATAGCATGCGATATCGCGCTTTCATAGACTCAACACAAACATTTGTGTCATAATTATGAATCTTTTCAGTTATTCTCTTGCGAAATTATTCGTACTTTTCAAGAAAGATCGCAGACTGAATTATCATTAAAAAAGAATAGAAGCGTACAAAAAAGAGGAAAAGATTTTTAAAAATATTTTTAAAAATATCACTTCTAAGAATTGAGAGTCTAATTAAATTCTGTTATCTTAAAACACACACACACTTTGTTTGCAGTTTTATACAATACGGTATGCTCGTTAAAGAATTATACATGCAAATTATATTTAATTTATATAAGTAAAATTATCATAAAAGCATTGAGCTAATAATGTCCGCAAAAAGAAATATTTGCAGATATTAAAATATATTTGTGAGTACTGCGGCGCATTACTAACTTCTCACAAAAATAAATGCAAATGTTTAACTTTTCCGACTGATATGAAATACACGCAAATATTTCTCACATGATATAGTTGAAACGATATAATACGTTCATAATTCAAACTGTTGCACCTGCAGAGCATAAAGAGCATGATAAGGAGATGACAAACACATTTCTTCGCGAATGAATCTGTCTCTTAAATTTTAAGACACATCTGCGACCATGTCGCAACAATGCCTGCCTAACAATGTTTTACAACGAATTGAGAACAGCCAAATATACAATGATAAACGCTCTCGCGTGATTACTCAATTAATAAGTTGAATAGCTCATTTGCAAGTAAGAAACAGAAACTGAAATAATTCTATTCAAATTCTTTCTAATCAAATTGTTAAAAGTAACTTAATTTTTCAGTGATAAAAATTCTATCACTGCATAACAACTCATTTTAGCAATAATATTTTTGTAGTATAATTTAACTTTGTACGAAATTAAAAAAAAAGGACACAAACACATAAGAAATAAATTTGAAATACGTGCGCGCGACTTATAAATACGATGGCAAATATTTATTATATATTTAGATAAATTGTTTTTATTTTTGTGAGAAACAAGAAAGAATTTTCCAATTTTGTATATTTTGCATGGTTAATAAGTATCAATGTTATAATAATGTATTAATAACTATATATGTATACACACACACAATAATCAGAAAAGTTTCTTATAATACCATAATATCATTTAGTATTTCAAGGTAAAAAAACTCGATATATTTTTATCTTCTTACTAGCGTTCACTTGACGGATGGAAAGTTATAAAACTTATGTATAATTTTTTTTGTCTTTAACGAGTAATATAACCTTCCAATGTTGTGATATGTAAAGTGTGCTCTCACACAGAAAAAGAGGTGACAATGATAAATGATGTTATGATAGGAACGACAGCGTACTAGTTGCCTAATTATATTTTCTGATGATATTTTCTGTTACACTTTCCATTATACTTTAGCTTTCTTCTATTTCTTTTGCATAGCTTTTTTAAGTTAGCATTATTAAATTATTAATAAATTTAGGCCAATTTTTATAATACATGGTTAACGAAAAAGTTAGATTAAAACTTGAAAGTTAATTAAAACACACTTTTATAAACTTATGGTCAAATAAATTAAAGGTTACGTGTATATACATCAGTTGAATTAGCATCAAGTTAACTTGACGATTAAGTTCCAATCAAACGTCGTGAAACAATAAACTTCTTAGTAATTTTTAACTTTTAGGTAACCATACATTGAAAAAGGACCTTGATCGTTTCTGTAATTAATTTCTCCAATAGACAGCAAGTTAAAAATTTTCGATTGTAGAGAAGAAAACTTAAAAGAAAAGCGATGAGTTTCTAATTCTTTTAATATCTTTGTAAATATTACTTATCAATAAGAAATTATATTTTAATAATTTTTGGAAAGTATGAATATATACATATATACATATATACATATATACATATAATGATTATAAAATTATAATTTCTTTTAGAGTTGCTAACGAATGAGAGAGAATATATTTCTTACCTGAACTAATTTCCGCAGTCAATGTTACGCTGTTGTGGATGTCGGAAGTATCAAGAATTTTCCGCACTCTCTTCACTAATCTAACACACTGAGTCCCTGATACCTTTGTCGGCCGGTTCTCGCTGCTCTTCTGTACGTCAGTGGCCTAACGGGGCCCTAACAGCTGCCCTGGTAGACGCACCAAGAGAGCGCAACTGCCGCAACTCCCACGACGAGGACTCAGCGCAGACTGACGCGGCAGCCGTTCTCGCGGGTCTGTCTAACCCACGCTGCCAGTTACTACTAGAGCCAAGCCAAGCGAATACTGATATATCAAACGTGTGTTCAAGCAGTGTTTCTCAAACTTCTCGCAGGCAATCCTATATCGAGCAGTGTCCTCTTTCTTTTAAACGTTACGATATGAATTTGTAGAAACGAAGTGAATTCTTTTTTTATATAATAAAGAACTAATAAAGAGATAAAATTTTAATTACATATTGAATATAATTGAAATATTAAATAATATTTAAAATATTAAGTAGAGCGCTGCTTTCTCAATATATTGAATTAAATAGAAAGGAATCAGAAACAACAAAAAATATATAAAAACGTAAAAATATATTTCGTCAATAAAAGGAATCTATAAATTAATTTTGTACATGTTAGTCGAAATTTTTCCTTGAATTAATTTTCTATCTTATCTTTTTCTTAATTGAAACATTAATTCTTTTTTTTAGTAAATGTTTATCATAATATACAAAGTAATTATATATGTGTATATTGTATATTATAGACGGGTTTAAATGGGTATAAATAGGTTGTAGCAATAGGTTATTCTATAGGAAAAAGAATTTATCGTCGTCTCCAGAAATCAATCGAGTGTATTATTCAACCAATATGATTTTCCTTATTTGCTTTTCGATGAAGCACATCGCCGTATATTTACCAAGAATAGAGAACGTGAGTCTGGTTTATTATTTGATTTGCGCCCTCGTGGAAAAATTTTCCCGCGGAAATTTTCAGAATGCTGTTTACAATTAGTTATTCGATTGCGACGTGCAGCGTAGTGGAAAATTAATGGCACGGCAATTTGATAATAAGAACTGGCAGCATCTCCGACCAACCAGTTGCTTCGATTGCGTCGGAATCGGGAACATCTTATTCGGAGCAGCGGTACAATTAATGCGCTCACAAGATGATCGAGTCTCTCTCGAAAACTCTATTTATATATCGTGTAATATTTCTTTACCTAGCGCTATTTCTGTGTACTTTAAATCAGATTATGTGATAGTACTCAATGTTACTCATCGACGTGGTATGTACATGTAAAGACGAGATCGTATTTCAACAATCACTGGATCATTTCATTCATTAATAACTCATAAATGTCAAAAGATGAAATAAAGTCATTTTACATGACGAATTCATTGATATATTTAAAATAAAGTAGACAATAGACATTATTTCAATAATATGAATTAAAGAATGAATACCTTTGTTTTTACTATTACTGATGCTAATTGGGATTTTCTGCCAATTAGAAGAAAATAGTGATTGCTTAGTTTAATCTTTTTAACAAAGACTTCCTTTTGAATATTCATGTCAAATTGTTATGAAATACAATTCTATACACGCGCTCATTTCAACTTTCAACAACGTGCAGATATATACATATTATACATATGTATAATTTTATACATATATTTTATTACAGATTGTAATATTGTGAAAATAAATTTGTATGAATGTTTTAATACGGGACAGAAAAAGTGAGTTTCTTTTCAATGCACTTTTTAAGTTTAACATTTTAAGATTTATTGTCTAAAGGTTGTCTAATTAAAGTAATTTGAGATACTATCTAAGTTATATAGCATTTTCCATCAAGTGTAGATCAAGTTAGAGCATTGTAAATCACTCATGTGTAATCAGACATTTACACAATTACACGATTCTTTTCAGCATTAAATTATATCTTTACAATCTTAATCTTTTAACATCTGTCTTTACTTTTGTCTTACACATTTATGAAAGTCAAGAAGTAGTCTAAATATTGACAATTATCTGAACTCAGAGCGCTTCAAGAAAATAAATCTTATTAGAATTAAGATATGTTAGTAATAAAAGTATATAATTAATATATAGATTGCAGATTCGGGAAGGTAAAAATAATCAGTATTAAATATTAGAGTAATAATTAACAAAATTAAGGAAAGACGAAAACAACTTAGTGCGATACAGTTTCAAAATATATTTACACTTTATATTGCCTTATATATGCATTTATATGCATTTTCTCATTGAATGACGTATAACGATCGAAGGTGCAACAGGTAAGTGTCCGAAGAACTAGCTGTAATCTATTTATGAATACAGTATCCGATTTTAGATATCGAGCACTTTTTATCTGCTGTTCGTATCGCCTCGTGGTGGTAACAAAATGACAATAATAAGTTCGAGGTTCATGGATCGATCTAGACTTTTTCTTAAATATGATTCCACTCAACATTCAGATAAGATCAGATAACGCACATCATATTTTGGGTACAATCATACAATCAAGGTAATCATTAAATTAGTTGTCACTTCAAAAAGCATTTCTCGTATAAGATTAATCGAGTCAATATAATACTTAAGTTTAAAAAGGGTCTGTAACTATAATACAACTCGAGGAGATGATCTTCTGCCGGAGATCCGCCAACGACACTCAAACGAAGTCAATTGTGTTTTCCTGACGAAAACCAACCCCAGGTCGTTCAAGACCTGTTTTCCTCCAGAAACGAAGCAGGGAGAAGGGTCGGTCATAGTTCTGGAAGACATAAATTTTCAAAAGACTATATAGTATATATAATGTAATTTGTCAACAATTTTTGGATAAAGAATGTTAAGTGATAAATAAGTAATTTTATAATATATGCTCGTTTTTTATTGTGGTATTATAACATCTAACAGAAAACTAGTATTTTTATATTAATACATAGTATAATATGTAGTGTATTAATATGTTTTATATGTATATGTAAGCTTTTAACACAACAGTATAGTATTATCATGCTTGTGGTTTTTCTACATTTATACTGAAATATGAAAAAATAAGCAAAAATAGATTTATAAGTACTAAATAGAAATGAATAAGTAAAAGAACAAGTATTTTAAGAAAAAAATGTAGGAAGCTTATACAGAGAAAACTTTCATCAATTGAAAAGGAAGTTATCTTAAATTATTATATCTTGATGATGATATCTTGATGATAAAAATTACAAAATACTTACCTCGATCGGTAAATACTTGAATTATAATACCTCTTTTATAATCTGTTTTTTGAACAATTTGCAATTGCTTGTCTATTGATATTACTGATTATCTCAAGTATTTTTCCTAAGTGGTCTTAAAAAGACGAAGAGAGAGAGAGGAAGAGAGAGAAGATAGAATCTTCAGGAAATGACATCACATTCTGGAAATTACTGTCTGATTAATATATAAAAATTAAGAAACATTGAGTTTCTTTACATATGAATTACATATATATATTATCCATCATATTATTACATAAAAACAAGATAAGAAAAAGAAATAAAGGAAAGAAAGTATTTTCAGTCAAGAAGCACTCAAGATTTTATATCAATTTTCTATCATTCTCCACTCCTATCATCTTATTATTTATCTTTTATACAAATTAAATTCCCATTGTTAAGAATTTATTATAAAACATTGCAAAATTATATTAAGCATACAAAATCAAAGAAATAAAAGGGTATAAACAACTTGCAAATAATTGTAAGTGAGAAACGCTTAGAAGATTTCAAAGAAATATCGCGATAAATAATTAATTACTGATTATTTAACTAGGTCGTTCTTTTTTTTCGAACATTGTATATTCACGCCGCTCGGTCTATTGCTAGTCAATTATAAAACATTAGTAATATATATATAAGCATCGAAAGAAAAGCAAGAGCACCGTTTGTCAAACAACTTGTGCATATGACCATCGTTTCTCACGCGTTTTTGCTCCTTCCCCCTTTTTTTCAGTCTCATTCTTTCGTCAAGGCCACCCGGTTTTAAATGCGGAACCGTTCATCCGTATAAACGTCATTTAAATGCCTGAGAGTTTCCGTACTTCCTCATAGCTTACATACTATGTTCAAGTTTTTTTTCTCTGCCAGTAGTCTTCGACTTATACGTATTGTAAATAAGGTCAAGTAAATTGTTATATTGTCCGACGCTATAACGATAGACGTTTGCTTTCAGATATCGACTAGGCGCCACGGCATTTGCGAGAAAAATTAGGATACGTTATCGACGCTCCGTAATCGTCTCCTCTCTTTAAGAGAAAACATTCCCAAGTGGATGGTAATCAGTATATAGATATAACGAGCATCTTCTAGTTTAACAAAGCCCCCACGCATTGGAGGATACACGCCGTTCAGTGCATATTAATAAAGTTGTCGGCTACAAACGCGCAATATGGCAGTGAAGTAGGTATCGACATTCTTCGTGGATATAATCGTATGCGTACACGGTATCAATAACAATTTGAACTTGAAATAAAATGGGATAAAATTGAAATTAATCCAGCAAAGATACTTGCATTATAAATTTAAATTTTCTTACGATGTAAAATACTTCAGTATAGTTTCATACATATTTTCAAACTATAAATATTTATATAAATATTTAAGATAGTGTGAGGGATAAACTTCCGAAAACGACTCAACTCCGATTTCAATGAAACTTTGCCAAAAACTTTATTTTGGGCTAAAATAAAAGTCCTTAAAGAAATTTTTACCGACTCCTATGAAAAAGCCATTTTTTAAGATGAAATTGTAAAAATATGTGATAGATAAATATTTCAATCAGGGACCAATGGCCTTGACCTTGACATATACTATCAGAGTCATGAGTGAGCTTCCAAAGGTTTTAGTCGTCGGCCATTGTTTATTAAAAGTTATTAACAGAAAAATGTTTCATAAATAAAATTTTTATCGTGTATTATATCTCATCTGCACGCGTGCAATTAAGTTAAAAATTCATGTGAAACAGTACAATTGTAGACTTCATTTCGCAAAAATAATAATTAAATATATATGTACACACACATATATGTATATTAAATAAATATTATATTTATACATATATATATATATATATATATATATATTACATATATATATTATATTTGTTTATTTATTAAATCTTCTAACCTTATTAAATGGGTGAGTCTACAATATACTAAAAATAATACAGATACCGAAAAGATTAGACAGACCCCTACGCAAACGGAACGGGTAGTATATGAAATCGAATATCTATCAAATCTTCGCCTTACTAAATGGATCAGTCTACAATGTACTAAAAATAATAGATACCGAAAAGATTAGACAGGTTTCTACGCAAAATAGAAAATACATGAAATCGAATATCTATTTAATCTTTGCCTTACTAAATGGATGAGTCTACAATATAATAAAAATAATAAATACCGAAAAAATTAGACAGGCCCCTACGCAAAGTAAGACGTATTATCATGAATTACAAATAAGAGCATGTTATTTTAACTTGACACATCGTTAGAGAATTTATTTTTTATTTCTATAATAGATATTAGCTATGTGATAGGCGGGGGAAGAGGCCTCACTTCTCTCCGCCCATGCTAACTATCGGGGGAGTTTCGTCTCCTCAATGAGTTTTTATTTAAATACGTATATTTCTGGTTTTTTATTGCCTTTATTCTCTTCAGACTCTCGCTTAGTTATCTTTTCACAATTTTAATCTCTTTTAATCTCTAACTAAACAAATATATAATCACAGTAGCTATATTCATTTGATAAATTAATGTAACAATATATAACTTTATTTAAACATTTTTTGTATTAAACTTTGTTTGTGATGAAAATCCATTTAAGGACATTTATTTGACACCATTCCGAGTATTTCTGCTAAAAATCATAACAATTAAGCATGGATCGTTTTCAGAAGTTCAGCTGACAGCCACAGTTTGAGATCCATATAAGATTTTGTGGAAAATAAATTAAATTGTTAGAACTGTTATATATAATATGGACAGGAAAGATTATCAATTTAATATGAGAAAATAAAATTCTTCGCTGTTTATTTATAAGTTAGATTTGAAATATTAAATCTATAGAACGCGCCAAGTATTCCGCGATTTTTACATAACACGTATTATTTACCGTTCCTCTAGATATCTTTTGACACATTGAGCGAGCGGAAAAATTTGAGCAGTCGCAAATATTTGCAAGTCTGGTCAAGATACCTTATGCTTACACTACCATCAGGAAGGAGCGTACAATGACCTTGTGAGCGAACAATGCCTTATCTTCTGGCTAAAATGGTTCGGTTAAAAAATTACGATATATATATTATTGAAAATACATATCTGAGAACCGATAGTGATTGCCTGACAAACAGTATATGCTTGTAGATCTTTATCGCAAATTTGTTAAAGCTCGATGTGAGATAAATACATATCTCTCTGCGCGCTGTGTGTTAAAATTCACGTACAAAAATAATGTACTTTAGTAAAGACAATTAATGCAATTTTTTTTTTGTTAAGTTCATATGTAAAATAAGTTAATATAATATTCGTTTGACAAATATAACAACACGTTAATGGTTCGTGAAAGTTACGTAATATGATGTAGAATTCAAATATGAAGTAAATTTTTTAATTGATCACACTCGTTAACATTACACGATCCTTATTTTAGGTAGAAAAAAAACACCAGTATAATTATGCAAATTGCCAATAGCAAAGGTCAGGTCGCAAGAGCTCGCGCCATTGATGAGATCATCACAATGTTGAGTATTATGTTAATGCATAAAATGCATAATTAACAGATTATCTTAATATAAAGTGTACTCCTGTAATTTATAAATACATTTACATAGTCATTTAAATTATATCAATTTTTAATTTATTGATTTCACATAAATGTTTATAACAAAATGCACGGAATTATTTTTTTTATAAGTTCACAAATATTAAAACATAAAATAAGAAATAGAATATAAAAAAGATACGTAGTTTTATATATATATACATACTTTAATTATTACCATTTAATTTAATATCTTAAAATACGCTTGTATAAATCGAACGAAAAACAGAAAAATAAAATATTGATGTGATCAACAAGATTAAGTAATAATTACGACTGGAAATGGAAGAATGATATTTTCATCAATATATATTAAATTATAATATTTATATATTTTACTCTTAGTTTATTAGTTATCTCATAATTGTTACTAAATCAACTTAGAAATTATTTATACTGCAAAAATTAACAGATTATATTTAAATAAATAGTTAAAACAAAAAACTTGTAATATTACCTATGGAGAAACCTATCTACCATATTTGATTAATATTAAATGTAATATATAGCAAAATTATGTTTATTTACTCCTTACATACATCTTTCATGACTAAATTCACTGTATTTTTATATTTAGGTAATATATACATTGCATAATGGATCTTATTATAAATAATATACAGTAAGATATGAAAAGTAATTATACTTTGGACTAAAATTTTGATTTGTAGATAAATTTAATAAACTATACTTATAATACGTGTTATTTTACTGTACATATATACATGGCGTATTGCACAGTCTTAATTCAGCATAAGTCTATCAATTTCATGCCATTACTGGAATCGGCTCTTGAATCTTTTCTTTCGCATGATGTTTCTTCTCTTTTTCTGGCGAATCCTTTGGTACATCCGGTAATAAAACGTCCTTTGGTATTTCGGGGGCTTTCTCATCGATATCAGCTTCCACCAATGCATCCAATTCTGCTTCAATTTCACTTTCGTCAATTTCTTCCTCTGTAGCAATTGTTGACGTCAATACTTCATCAATTTCTCTTTGCTTCTCGATACCCTCTCTCGTCTCGTCCATAACTTTTTCGATTTCATCGATAGATAACAAAGCGTGTAATTGCTTCAATGCAGTATTGCCAACTTTTAGGCCATCGACAACTTTCGTCTCAACTTGAGCAAATTCCAAATCATGGACCATACGCTCAAGATTTTCTAGCTGGCCGTCTGCACGAGACAGAACTTGTTCTTGATACTTCTTCTTGCGTAATAATAGCAACGCACGACTGTAAGAATTAAAAATTATATAATTTCAAAGAGACAAAGTCTAATTAATATAATATTATGTGTCATATCATATTAATTAAGCAAAAATTTGTAAAACAAAATGAAAAATTTTATTTATAAAAATTTAAAAAGAATTTATTCAAACAGAATTCATTTTAAGAACAGTATTCACAGTCAATTTTTATACTTAAGAAGCAACGTCACGTCTTAAGCTAATTACAGAGAGCTACATTAGCATTTTAATATATTACTTAAAGACAGTCTTGAAATAAGGATTGACTATGTCAGCTTATATTTCTAATTATTGAAAACAATCGAACTTGTACTACATAATAAACAATAATAATAATTACAATTAATAATTTATGATAGAAATAAATGTAATATACAATATACAATAAATCAATGCCTTTTTGATATGATAATTGATAGTGAGATACGCACTCTTTCTTTCCATTTTTCAAAAGTTCCTTCGCCAGCAACCGTTCTTTCTCCAAGCTTTGCTCAATTTTCTTTTGATACTGTTTAATTTTATCCCTCGTCTGTTTCACTTGCTATAAACATAAAAAATGCGTCTTTGACAGTTTTGAGGTTATAGTATGACAATAATAGGTTATATACTACGCACTTCTAACTTTGGTACACTACACATCTAATATTATTTTCTATTTGTAATGCACCGCAAGTCAAGCAATTATTAACAATTCCTAGGATGAGTTAAGTGCGACTAATAATAATGAGAAAGAATGATTAGACAGTTTCGGGAGTAATTTTCAATATGAGGAAAGGGTTAAAGCATCTTTTTTACCAGGATCGCCTTGTCCTGCTCGGTGACACGACTCGGTTGCTTTTTTTTCGCAAAGAAAATTCCCATCTTGCACGCGATATCAAGCGCGAGCCGCGTGTCAAATTTTGCGATTGACTTGGATATCACGTTACGTTGCGTTTCACAGTCGTCAGAAAAGTAGTGTCAACCTTCGCGGTGTGCCGGGAGACGGCCATGTTGATCGTTCGATACTCGACGACTCTCGACGCATGCGATTCTCGAAACGAATCCAACGTCACGTCAGAGATCTGGTCACGTCAGTGAACGTGATGCAGTTCATGCAGTATGAAATACATAGAAGAAGGCCAGTTCTTTATAGTTGAATTGCTGCACTAGTTCACAGTTTATCTTTCTCTTTCTACATTGGAAGAAAAAAGATAAACTCTGAACTAATGCAGCTATAAAGTTCAGCTATAAAGAACAGGCTTACAGAAACAACACACAAGAAGTTCGCGAGTATAGCATAGCATATATGCTTGCATATAAATAAAATTCGCAATTATTTTCATATTCACCAATCTTTTTATTGATTTTACATAATTATAAATACTTTTCTAGAATTAAAGATATATATATATATATATATATATGTATATATATATATATGTATCCAGTTTTCGGTTTCTCATTTTTTATTTTGATCTTTTTATTGATTTTACATAATTATAAATACTTTTCTAGAATTAAAGATATATATATATATATA